ATAATACCCCGGTAGTAGGTATATAGCGGCGGTATATAAGTTGGTTTAATGGAAAAATCGACTCAATGAGTCGTGTAAACGGGATAGACTTGTTGCGTGCCGTACGGTAACCGGACACCCCGGCCAAAGTCGCCCCTATACCGGTATACGAAAATTATTATTATTTTATTACATAGGTAGGTATATGACTATCCTCTTGTTCGTCTCTCGTATTCTACACAACACATACAAACTATACAACATGTATAGAACAAAGTATTATAATATTATGTGCGCGCACGCACAATGCGCCCAGGTTCGCCGATACGACAGACGAACTGCGAGCCGCACGTGTAACCGTATAGAGATACCTATATTGTATTATACCTATATATATATATATTTTTTTTTATTTTTTTACATAAACGTCAACCGACTGGAAGTGATTATATCGGCTGTTATGTTACGGCGGCAAATGGACGTATAATAATATTTAAAAAAAAACGTTGGCGAAACGCGAAATAAGTTATGAAATTTCATTCATAATAGGTACTCGGTTATAATGCTGAGGAAAAAATAAACAGCAAGTGTCGTATTACGGGTTAAGGTTTTTCACGGCGGCTTGTAATATAATAGAGAAATCTTAAAAAAAAAACCGTACCGATTAAAGCCAATACCAAAACCGACAAGTGACGCGCGCTGGGAGGTAGGTAGGCCTACATGTTATACACAATGAAGGTGTAACGATAAAATAATATTATAATTAGGAATAAAAATTAAGTTTTTATTATTATTATGTATACTTTAGTAACAAAATAATATTTAGTAACCTCTATACTGTTATTCTTTGAGCCGGCACAGATCAAACACTACGCTCCGCTACGACGATTCGATACTATATTATGTCTGTGTATAATTAATTTTTTATCTGACCGCATGTAAGTTTACTTTTTGGTCGGCCGACAACCGCAAAACGAGAAAACTGGGAAAACCGATACGTATACATTATATTATTATGTAAGTACAATCGCTACTAGTGTTGATCAACTTAACCGCATGTGTTCATTTCAGTGGTGGGAACTAATTCCAGTAGATATCTATATTATATTATATATATTATACGCCTCACCTCGATAACTAGGTCTCGAAAAAAAAAAAATAATAGTATATGATTTTTAACACAATTTGACGTTAAGAATTTGTCCAACAAATTTTTATTAAAAAAAACCAATTGTGAAAAAAAAGTTTTTGCTATTTTCAGCGAATTTTGTCTACTAAAAAAAAAAAAAAATTGCCGAGTTCTGACCTGATCGCGTCATGTTCTCTATTATATTTGCAATAAAAAATATATACTATGTACAATGTGTGTGTACGATTATTGCACAATACACATTATATTATTATTGTTATTATATTTTTATCGTCCAATTAAATCTATCTAGCTAGTAGCTACCGTGTAATTTAGTCTGGTCGCGTTCCTCGTGCAGCCGGCTACAATAATATACGATAATATAATATAATATATATATATATATATATATACATACATGTAGATGTATTCTTCTACAATATAAATAGGTAAACGAACGCGTGTGAGTGTGTGCGCTCGCCTAGGGATTATATTATTATTATTATATGGGCGAAACGTATTCGAACGGTTTTTGATAATGGATCCAGAATTTGACACCCCCGGGGGCAGCTGCCGGTTGTGTGTATATAGGTATTATATTATATACTGGAGCGTACTATGTAAGGTCGTGTTTCGATCGGACCTGATAAGGGTTTTTTTTTTTTTTTTGAGGGATGACAATGGCAGCTTTGGCCGGAGAGAAAAAAAATTACAGGGCCGGCGCGTGCACACCCAACACGGTCGTTTTTGGCGATAATGTGTCCGTCAGCGCGCAGACTTAACGTTTATACAATATTATTATGTATTATATTATTATACGCATAATACGTGTACACCCTTCCTGTATCTAGTACATAGCGCAGGATAATGTGTGTGTTATCGGTAATCGCCGAGTTATAATAATATATAATATTCTACATGTGTATACATATATATATATATATATATGTATTTTTTTTTAATTCTCATGCATTATATTTACCTATATAAATTATACGGATATGGGTACAGCCGTACAGGGTTCTGATACATACTGGGATGAGCGATTGAAATCAATATAGCCACAAACCTCCTGAACAAACACGGAGAGCGCAAGTAGTATAAGGGGCCAAAAACAAAAGGCCGTACACGCTTGTATGTGTTGTATTATACAATAGTATACCTATATTATATATGTGGGTAGTGTAAATAGGCTCGTGGAAAAATATGACGGACGAGTATTGAATATCAAAATGATCATGATAGCTCATAACGGACGTTTCTCACGGTGCAGTCGAAAATGCCGTCATCAGTACAAATACAATAATATAACTACTAAAACAGAACTACAATTATTTCGGATTTTGGTTATTAGTAGGTACGATATCGTGTTTAAACATTTTTTATATAAATAGCGTACAAACGAAAATGTTTGTTTTTGGACTTCGATGCATTTTATATTTTGTTATGAATAATAATTATTATATTTAAAACAAAGTTGTTGTATTTTATGAGAAATATTATGTTTTAATACTATGCGATATAATATTAGGTACATTGTAATGCGATTTAATGTACATTTTATTTGTGTTTTACACATTGTGTTGTAAAGTTCAGTACACCTATATGCAACCGTGGACTCGCCGTATATACACTATTATTTATTATAATACATTTTTCTGCGTGTGTGTGTACCTATATAGTAAACGTTTGAATTGCAATCGTACATTCGATGTAATGTACATAAGTGTTTGTTTTTCTTTGACTATTCAGAAGAAGAAAAAAAATAGAGTATAGCATTATATAGTGTAGCTCAGTATACCTAGTAATAACCGTTGTATTATTATTGTTGTATATGTGTATCATGTTGACCGACACCGCCACTTGAGAATTCGGTGGAACTGCTATTATATACTTGCGAGATAGGCAAAAAATAATAAAAAAACATACGACATCCTATTCGATTTTGATCGAAAGCTATGATATTATGTACAAAATCCCATAAAGGAATCGACTTAGACGAGACATTAGGTTTAAACATTAAACGATACACAATTAATTAAATAAACTAAAAAAAGGGTCAACATTTTCACAATTTTATACAAAACACATATGTACCTTGGTTACATATACTTGCACTGTGAGCAGACTATTTGGAATTTCTGATGTATTATACTAATGTCAAACGTTAGGCTTGATTTAAATTCGAAAAGAAGCATTAAACATTGTAATAATGATACGCCAGACACTAATCACTGTCCTCCACCTCACTCGCTCCATACAGACCACATATATGGGTATTGTAACCGCGACGCGTTTGGTAGTATTATACATATAATATTATCGGTTCATGAAAAGTAAATGTAAAACCGGTTCCTATTTAATTTGTAAACCAACATAATGTTATATTTATTTAAAAAAAAAAAAACCAATTTTCCATCAACCTATATGCATATAAAATAGTTAAGCGTAAATTCGGTAGCACACAATGAGGTGGAACAAATTATGTTTTATGATATTATAATGAATGAACAAGCCACCCAGGGGTGTATTAAAATACTATAATATGTATTTTTTTTATTAATATAAATATCTTTTTAAAACGTTGTGTGTATTCCGGACTCGGTTGTGTCGTGTACGTAGATATAGGTACAAAACTTGTTACACATAAAGCAAATAATAGCTTTACATTTGTATTTTAAATTTAAATTTGATAGTTTATAATTATGGCGCCTATTCTAATGATAATATCAGATTGAAAATTATCAGTTATTCTAAATTTTATTGCGGATTAGATCAACTTACGTTTCTAGCCAATATTTTACAGTGATTGTATTGAGTAATTTTGTTTTTAATATTCATATAAGTCCATTTATGTTGTAACTAACTAACAAGTATCGACTTCAGTTGTCTTATGTGATTAATAAAAATGTATCTATTATTATAATATATTATTATATTATACTAAATATAACATCGATAGTGCATAGTTAAAATAAATAATATTTTAGTTTTAAATTTTAATTTTATAAATAGGTGCAGAGTTATGAAAATATTATAGTTTTAGAAAATTTAATTTCCTGGATCCATGTTTTATACATGGAGAATATGTAAAATTAATATTTTCAGTGCAAATGTTATATTTTAAATTAATTTTACATTTTACCGTATTATGGTGTTGCTGTTGGAAATAATAAAAAGAAAATACTTATGTTGCAAAATAATATTGACAAGCACTTTATCTGTTTAAAATGTCGTCTGGCCTTTATACAAATTCTAGGTACCTACCTATGTATAGGTAATATTTTATATCAGTGTTGGGGAGTATCTAACATGAATTACAAGTTATTGGAACGAAATGATTTTTTAAGTAGTTTGATGATATTTTTGAAAGTAAAAATATTTTTTTTGGAAAGTAATTTATACGTAATTCAAGTTACTTTTTTGTAGTCATTTTTTTTTTCAAAAATAAATCGAAACTTATTTTTCAATCAATTAAAAGAACCAAAGTTTGTAATTACATGTATGATTATTTGTGACTGAGACATTTTCAATGCTCAGATATTTGACAAAAATCAAGTTATATTCATCACCAAGGTATATGTTTATTAATTATTATTAAAGTTAAGCTTTTTTTGTATACCTATATATTTTATTTTAAACAAGTATTTTTTTCAATTGTAACGAAGTTATTTTCAAACCGGAACTTTTAAAGTAAGATAAAAATAATTTAATTATAATTTTGCAGTGTATTTAGTAGTGCATTTGAATTACCAATAAAAAAAAGCAATTTTCCCACGGGAACAATGTTTTTTAAAAATGCGTTAATAAAACAGTAAGATAATTTAATACGCATAAATACTGATTTCTAAAACTTAAAGTAAAAATTATAAGACAATTATTTTGGACGTACCTATTTTTGGCAGCAGCCGCTCTGTCTCGCTGTCTTCGGTTCTTGAACCAATTGCCCACTTGGGTAGGCGTGAGGCCCGTGGCTTGGGCCAGTTCCTTCTTCTTGGTCGGGTTGGGATACGGGTCTTGGAGGTACCACTCGCGCAACAGACTCCGGGTGCGTTCTTTGAAACAGTGGGTCTTTTGCTCGCCGTCCCAAATGGTCCGGGGCAACGGGAACTTCTTGCGGACTCTGTACTTGTCGACGGGCCCCAGCGGCCTGCCTCGCAGCTTTTCCGCTTCTTGGTAGTGGGCCTCCAGCCACATTGCCTGTAGCTTACCGTGCGAGTCTTTGGTAAACTTATGGTGTTCCAGGATAGTGTACATGTCGCGGTAGTTGCCGCTGTGGAACGAAACGATGGCGCGCGCCCGGAGCACGGCCTCGTTCTTGTTCAGCTCGACGATGTTCGGGTGGGCCACCGGCAACGACCACAGGAACCGGGCCAGCCGCTCGATGTCGCCGCTCTCCTCCAGTGTCTCGCACACGCTGGCCACCTGCGACACGCTAAAGTTGAGCATGGGCAGACCGAACATCGGGTTGGGCACCATCGGCATGGGAGCCAGCCTCGTGGGCAGCGGCGTGATCGGGCTAATCGGACTCACCGGCGATCCCCGTCCCGACGAATCCGTCGGCGTCGAAGATATGCCCAATGCCATCACTACATTCCACTACGGACGCACCGGTTGAAAACGGATATTATAGTATTATGCACTTTCCGAACCGATCAAATTACAGCGGGAACGGTCAGCGGAGTCGAGTCGACGCGAACACGACGGTAGTCGGGTACAGTTAATAATAAATAATTATAACGCCTAAAATAGTATTTAATATTGTCCTATGAAATTCGATTACGATTCGAACGCGTACGTATTATTATTATTATTATTATTATACCTAATGTAATCGCGGCGCGCACACACGACCGGTGTGCGTGTGTGTGTGTGACGGAGTGTGTGTATAATGATAAAATATTTTCGTCGACCGGGGTATCGTTTGCGTCAGATCATCGCAATATCGTTGACCGGTTGATACTAGTATACGGCGGGTATCGCGCGCGCGATACCGTGTAAGGTCGCCCGGGGTATCGCCCCGCCCATGATTAGCCGTCCGTCGCCATGGCTACCGCCAATCCGGCGCGGGCGTATCCCGTGAGCCCCGTATAGGTTACAGTGCGGGCACTGCAGTGATTGATACTCGGGTGGGGATTTCCACAAACAAAAACGCGTTCGGTAGCCGCTCAACCACACCTATCTGCGCGTCACCGCACCGCCACCGCGTATACCGGTGCTATGATAATGTTTTCGTTGACTTTGCCGCCACACCCCCACACGGCCCGCAGAATCGCCCCCTCCCCTCCGTCCGCAGCCGCACTCGCACCGTCCGATATAATATTATCATCATCATCGCCGTCGTCATCGTTATTATTACTATACCTCTATATACGTTATTATTTATTATTATTATTATTATTATTAAATAAATCACACTACCCGTTTCGCTTGCTGCCGCGGATACGGCCAAGAGGATAAATCTTATCTTGTGTGTATATACATATGTACATAAATAGGTGTACTATATGCGGCAAACTCGTCGCTTTTTTTTCTCTTGCACAGCTCGTTTATTTTTATTCACACAGCACAAGACGGTATACACTCACCTAGTATCTATATACACCGCATAATAATATTATTAGTGTAAATTGTAAAAGGCGTCTGATGTTGTTATGACAAAATATTTAGGTACGTTTTCTTTGTACATTCGCCAGCTCGAGATATAGTAGGTACTATAGCTCGAGTAATAGTATTTAAACGCTCGTCGACATCGGTGTTTAGAACCATTTTGGAAATTAAATAAGAAAAACAAGAGATATAAGGTTTTGTACCCATCGAGTGGCGAGTGTGCTTTTTAATTTTATGTTATTTTTTTAGTTTTATGTGAAAATATTTAAAACCATTAATTTTTTTTTATTTTTAGTCGGCGATTGAATTTAAAGTATAAAAAATTGTATACGGTATTATACGCGAGCCTTTTAGTGGACCCCGCCACACCCGCCTATTTATTTAAGGAGTCATGTATAGGCAATTTAAGCTAACCTAGCTCGACAATTTTAAGGCATAATGATCGAAAGGTCGATACTTTATCTGTGACGCGATTTTTGATAATTCTAGCTAAAATGGAATTTGTTTACTTCTTTACTAGATTATGTTTGGGGGGGGGGCAGTATTTTTGTAATTAAAAAAGTTATAATTGAAAATGTTTGAATATCAAACCGCGATTTTTTTACATCAACAATTTATCATAACTTAGTAAAATAGCCAAAAAAGTTCTATGAAACAACTCGTAATATACGTATATGTTTATACAATTGAAATGTAGAACGTAAACCGGACCATCCTAATAGTAGTCAAAATGTCTACAGGCTTTTTAGTCTAAAAGGTCCAACAAAACGGTCTGCTTTCAGTCCCATAAAGCCTTCTATTAAAACCCTTAGGTTATTTTTTTTTTAATTTAGCGATCTGTTACACTATACTAAAATAGTGGTTTTGTGGGTAAATCAGTAATTTGAAAAATCAAAACTGTTTGTATATTTTATTACATAAAAGAAGAAAAACTAATTGCGAGCTAACCGGTTTATCTGAACATAATATGTCCACACTATTTTGTCGGCAAAATATTATGTTCGCAAAACATGTGATAACATTGAATAGGTATTTTTCATTATAATAAAAATATTAATAAGTCAAGCACTAAAAGAAGAAGATACCTAAACATATGATTCTGATTTCAGTAGTCAGTACATAGTAGTATTTGCTTTAAATATGTTCACAAATTTGTTTTTCATAAAAAGTACCCAACATACTGTCATACACAATATTATTATGTACCGTAGTAGTCAAATTAAATATCAGCAGATAATGTATGTAACAACGCGACGCTTTGCAAGCAGAGTTGGGTATTTTTTTTTTTTAAGTTAAAATAGATAAAAGTTAAATTGATAAATAACCATTTTAATCCTGATACAAAGTTAACTTTTTAATCATGATTATATTAATCTAATAATAACAAATAAAATAAGTCACGAATAATAATTAAAAAATATTATTTATATAATGCCCAACTCTGTTTGCAAGATATATAACCCGGGCGTATTGTGTAGGCAATTCAAATGCTCGTGGGATAAAAACGCCTAATTTCAAATAAGTTTTTACAAAATAATTGCAATTTTATAGTGTTTATTTTTGAAAAAATTTGTATTTATGACAATATTCAAATTTTAAACTCTTTTAGTGTTTACTAGAGCTTTATCAACTTTTAAAACTCAAATTTTTACATATATATTTATTTGGATTTTTAAATTAAAAATAATGTAATAAAATGTTAACTGGTCGATATAACTGGTTTTGAATAATTATTTTTAACGCTTCTTTAATCATACGGTGACTCAGGTAAAAAATGTACATAGGCACACTTAATTTAAGTGGGACCGAAAAATCAGGTGACTAACGGAGGGTTTAAGTTAAAAAATTTAGGACGGGAGGTGAAGTGCGGGAAATGTGGGCAGATCAAAATAACTCCAAAGTTAATAAAGCTCTGTAAAAATGCTAAAAAAGATGAAAATTTGAATATTGTATATAGCATTAACAGAAATATTAAAAAACAAAAATACAAAATTTCATATATTTTAAGAGAAAACTGGTTGGGCGTTAAAAGGATCACTCGGTAGATCTTATTATTTTTGAGAAATAATCCTATATGTACTTGCAACGTGCAAGTACCATTAGGTAATACATATTTTCTAAATAGTATTTTGACTAAGTGTACGTCAGTGTACAACTACCGAATATTATAATAGTTAATGTCTATATATGGTGGTTGTTTCTTTTGTTTTACCTATTTAAAAAGATAAATAAATTAAATAATTCATATTACTTCTACCTGTTGTACATCATAAATCCAGAAATCCGTTTTTTTGTAATATTTTTAAATGAAGAACAGCAAAAACAAAAAACAAAATCTGGTAGGTAATTTTTTGGATAAGGATTGACAAAAAAAAATAAATTAACAAAACCTTTAGTTTTTAACTAGTCAATGCCCAGTTTTGTTTTTTAAAACACATTTTTAATATGAAATGAAATACAACTTTTTATTATTAAATACCAAATACTAGAGTCTAGACGTTACAAAAAATGTTTTAGTACTTAAATAAACAGTAGTAGAAAATTACCAAAGTGGACCCATTTGTGCACGGAAGCTTTATTAGGCTATGTTAGGCCGCTTTCAAATTGTATAAGTGTTTCCCAGTGCTGGGATGGTTATATGTGAAACTACCGTTTTTCCCCTGTGCCCTTCATCTATATTTCCTTAAAATATGTATAAAAAACTAATGTAATTATTAAGTCATTTTTACTAATTAGAGCTAATTAACTTAGGGCAAGGGATGTTGAAGTGTGATGTTATCAGTCCGTACTCAGCCATACTAAATAAATATACTTAACACTGCTGTTCTGAGAATTATCATTTTTTTTTTTATTTCTTTGGTCAACTATGGTCCATGTAGACTGGGTACTGAAGGACGACCTCTTTAGTCTTCACTGTACCTAGTCTATGGTTAGCGTAACAAACGAAATAGATACCACTTTGTTTTAATTTTTTATATTTTGCCGATATAATAGATAGTGTTCTGTGTTTTGAACTCGTTCTATTAAAAAAAAAGTACATTGGAGAATATAATTATATTTTAGAAAAAAAAACAGCAGGGTGCCCTCGAAAATGTTCTTTATTAAACATTTTTATTTGTGTTTAAAGTATAATTTCGACTTAAACACCATATTTTAATCTAAGCAACGTAATTTTGCTATGTTGCCAATTCGTTAGACTGAGACAATACATTCGGGCGTCACGTTCTACGAAGTCCCTAAAAATATGTGTTCCTTTAAGTCTGATGCCTTGGTGTTGGTACTCCCCTAAACCCCCGCTAATTTCGTCCCTGCATCGTAACACACGTTTTCATCAGGGTTGCTGATTCCGAATTTGGCACCAGTTTTTCAATTTTACCTTTTACTTATAGGGAGGGGCACGGTAAGGTATCAATTTATTGACTAACCAATAAAAAAAAATATAATATATATTTAAATAAAAAAACCAGTACAGTGGGGTCGGGGAGGTCACAGGTCTATAGAAATTATGATGAAAGTGATAAAATCACTTTTAAATAAACGCATCGATGCAAATCTGTGAATAGTAGGTTCAATTTTGAAACCAGTAGATACAGTAAGAAAGTATTATACTTAAGCGGTAAGTGAGTAGTAGTAGTACTGGCGTACATAGGATACAAGTATAACCCTATATATAGGGTTGATCGTCAGTCTATAAACATGTTTTGCTATAGTTACCCATAAACTGTAAATAACAATATAATGGAAATATTTTCATTACCTTTGGAATCCTATCCACCCACTTATTAAGGAGTAAAGTCAGGCCCGTATTTAAGGGAGGGCTCGGAGGGGCAGTTGTCCCTACTAGCGGCATGTCTTAGGGGCGGCAAAATTTTTTAAGCAAAATTAATTTAAAAAATGTAATTAAAAAAAATCAACCCATTTTATGTAATGTTTTTTTTAATTTGTATTTTAGAAAAATGTTACGAACCACTAGCTGTATTATTGTCTACAATCGACAAAATAATAATAATAATAAACGGATAATAAAAATGTTCCAAAAAAAATATATTTTTAGCAATTGGTTGACAGATTTTACCCAATAAAAATACTTTTTTTTACATATAAGCGAATGCGATGAACATTTTCTAAGTATTTAAGATATTATAATAAGTATTAAAGATTTAGGTAAAATATGTACCTAAAAGTATTGAAAAAAAAAAATAATTTTCAAAATATTTTTTTGGGGGGCGGCAAATTTTATGTTGCCCCTGGCGGCAATTTTCGTAAATACGGGCCTGAGTAAAGTAAGTGTTGTAAGTATTGTGTTTATTACCTATTATTATCATTACATATTTTGTCCTAGGTTTTATACTTTTACTTTTATATTCTTTAGTTATAGTTGTTTGTTTTGAAAATAATATTATTTAAATTATACCTACAAATATATACTAATCAATTATATTATTTTAACTTACTAATTACTATCAGTTATACATTGACTACATATTTTATAACGATAGCATATATTAAAAATCGATGCATTGTGCTATGATAATTTTAAATAAAACTATCATTATTCTTAAACATTGTTTACGCGGCTCAGATAACTATGGCGCATTTAGGTGTTAATCTGAAAATACATCTCTTTATTTGATACCAATTCTAAATTAGATTCTTATTTTCAGTTATCTCATTAAACAACTTCTAAACTATAACTCAAAAAGTAAAACAAAATACATAAACATGTTAACCGAGTCATAATAAAATTTAAAAGAAATAATTAATAATTTCTGTGTGCAATGTTAAATGTATTGTAAAATGTAATGTATAATATAAGTTCATTTCTTAATACTATTTTTAGTACATTTATTTTTGAAATTCTGGCTTTAGCAAGCTAAAATATGAAAATTGTTTTTATACATATAATAATGTATAATGGTAATTTATATCAATGTTAAGAATAATAGAATAACTATATATTGTTAGGAAGTTAACATTTATTAATAAACTTTATAATAAAAATGTTAGATTACATCTAGTAATAGTTTTTCATATTAATGTTGTTACTGAAAAACTAATTTAAGTTCTTCCAATGTTATACAAAGAAAAGAATTTACAATAATGCACATATGAATTATGAACAAAATTATTGAGTTGCTTAAAAAAAATAAAAATCCTTAAGATCAGACATTGTTAACTATTACAGAACTCCCTTGTTCAGTTTTCTTTTCTTCAGCTTGTTTATCAGGCATTTCTGTTGGTTCCATAAATCCACCTCTTACTTGTATATTGTGCTTAGTTTTGAAGTCGTTGATTTCAGTACCTTTTTTAGTAAGTTGTTCGTTTAAAGTTTTCACGATTTTACTCATCTAAAATGTTTAAAATACATATTATGTACTACTCAAATGGAAAAGAGCTTTACTATTAATACTATAAGAAGTATTAATCATATTATAGTAACATTATTTTAAATTGTCTGTAAAAATGTATATAAATTTATTTATAGAAATTATTCATTACCTATTAAAATCAAATCATCCAAGAACAGAAGTTTAATCAATTTATTAACTATTTATTTTTAAAAAAGCATTAAGTTATTGTAATAGTATAGTCAATACGTGCAGCACAAATGTCAAGACTTGAAAAAATAAGGGGACTAGCATTCTTGAATTATGATGAAATTAAAGTTACAGAAATTAATTTATATCTACGCCTTAATACCAAGTAACTATGTATTAAAAATAACCAAGTGAAAAATTATGTTTAAATCATTTACTTCATCAAAATAGGTCATTTAAACATGTTTTTGCACATAGTCACTTTTTAACACTTTTGTGTTTTTAGTCACTTTTGGCATGATGGCGATATGCTCTACCTATTAACATAAAATCTGCTTATATAAAGGCAGATATAAAAAACTCCATTGAAAAAATATATATTCACGAGTGTGATAAGTTATATTTGATTTTGTTGTTTCACACGAAATCCCAATCTAAAATGCAAACACATGGGAATGAAAAGAAAGAATGTGAAAATAGTTTTACTGTTATAATGTAAAGTATCAAAAATCAGTGGTATTATAGACATATTTTGGATTGTTCAATTATCCCAGTTAATTTACATATTTCGTCTTGGACAGTGTAAGAGGTAATAAAAAATGAATTAGTAAAATTAAACAAACCTCTCCTCTGTTTTTGATAAGGGTTGGTAGTACATCGCTAATTTGTCTTTCCACTAATACCCCACCAATCATTCGGAAACACTTCCTTTTGCCATCCAATTTGTTAAGAGTTTCAATAACAACACTGAAAAAAAATAATTATACATTAAAGTATTAGGTACAGAGGTAACAAATGTTTTGGATGAATAAACAATAAGTACTTGTGTTCGTTCAAATCAAGTTCGATTTCAGATAACTTCGTAGCTAGTTGTCTTTGTTCTAATCTTAAGGCATTAAAAGTGCTTTGAATGATTTCTTCTTCGGTGGGTTTTTTATTTCTACCTAATTTTTCCATAACGAAGTTTGATCTTAACGTTTATTGGTATAATTTAATTAACAGTTCTTAACGTCAGAAATAAGTAAGTGCATACGTTCAATTCACATTAAAAATAAATTTAATATACTTTATTTAAAGTTCAGAGTTCTTAAACTTAGTTGAAAACGAACAAATATGTTCTTCTCTGATATCATGCAGCATTTGCTAGTCAAAACTCAAACTACTCTTCGGAAGACTTGATAAAATTATTTTGAATGAAATTGTTATAGGTTATGTGGTTAGCGGTTACTACCTTCTATCGTTATCACTAACCAAATCGACCATAACCGGCTGATAACTTTTGATAAATTTTTTATGATAAAAATCCGAGGCTCGGTTGAAAGGGCTTAAAATGTACTTAGCTTTGAGCACAGAAGTATTTTTATTTATTTAACATATAATTCATAACATTGGGCAATTTCCATTATAGTTTACAACAAATAATACCTAAGCTCATAAAAAGTGTTTTATTCATATTTTTTAATTTAGTGTCTTTTAAAAGCATTGTTAAACCAGGATGTCGTGTAGTCTTAGAAGATTTTATCAAAAAGTAAACACCTACATTTTTCACGAATATAACTTGAATTTTAATTTACATATTTAACTTAATTCCTCTATAAATAACTGAAATAAATTTATAACATGTAATATTAATAATGTTCATAATTTATATATGTATAATATATTATATATATTTTTTTGTATCCAGTTTCAAATCAGACGTATAGCTCAATTGAACTACAGCAATGCAGCAAAGGAACCAAACAAACGGATAGAACTACCAAAACGCAAGGAAAACGATGTTGGTAAACGAGGTCCTATTACCTGGAAGAACCTTATGATAACAGGTGTTTTGGGATCTGGCATGATTGCATACTTATTGTATTTAAAAGAAGAACAAAATGAAAGTAATCAATTACAGTGGATTAATAAAATAATATACTTCATAGACTATTGCCTTAGGTTATTTTATGGTCTCATTATCCATTTGAAACATGTTAATACTTAAATAAGCAAGTGAGAAATAAGTAAGTTTTAAACTGGAAGTTTAAAAGTTACAAAATATTTATACAAAGTAAAAACACCAACTTTTTCGATTTTAAAAAATATTATTTTATATTAATTCGTTGAAAAGAAGTCTAGGTATTAATTTTATAAGGTATTTAGCAGGTTTGCACGTCTTCACAATTCTATTCATCATAATTTTATAGATATTGAATACGATTTTAAGTGCACAATAAGTTTCACAGGAGTAAATTTTTACTCCACAATAGTGGTCAACGGGTTAATTTGTCCCGGACCACAAAAATCTGAAATTTGATACTGTAAAGGCCATTTTTGATAGGCCAAACTGGTACAATTAACAATCTAAAATTGTTTTAAATATTGAATTGAACTGATTTCTTTCTCATGCATAAAATTATTGAAAATAAGATATTCCTCGTTATTCACGGTTAAAATTAACTCATGAGTCATTAGATAAATCCTAGGTTACATATTTTTATTTTGAATTAATTTTCAAAAATATAACTATGTAGTTAGATTAGTTCAAGCATATTATTATCTAACCAATATTTAACAACTTCATTTTAATTTTAAAAGCAATTTTGTATGTATAAATTTAATTCAAATTACATTTTTTTGTTTTTTTTTTTTAGAACAAAGGCGCGAAAGAAAAAAACAATTGGGCAAGGCTAAAATCGGTGGTCCTTTTGAACTAGTTGATGGATCGAACAATATTGTAAATAGTGAACAGTTTTTGGGTAAATGGATGCTTATATATTTTGGATTCAGCCATTGTCCTGATATATGTCCCGATGAATTAGAAAAAATGGCCCTAGTTATTGACAATCTTGGTAAGCAAATGTAATTACCTTTGATATTTAATCATTCAAATATTGTGTAGAGGCCGTGGCAGAATGGCTAAAAACACATGTTTCAGTTCCCGATTTGTCTTTCGGATAGTCGTGCAATTTTTATTTATAAACTATTATTTAAATAGCTGAAATGGTTCTATGATGAAATATTGTCTTAAATCAATATGAGTTGACAACAAAAAAAAACTTTATTGAAGAATTGTCCCAAATCAGGGGTTTAATCATTGTTTTTTTTTTTTAGAAAAGCAAGAAATGAATACCGGCATCCAAGGTATATTTATTACAGTTGATCCGGAAAGAGACAGTCCTAAAATTGTAGAAAAGTATATTAAAGAATTTTCTCCAAAATTCATTGGTTTAAGTGGAACTTCCGAACAAATCCAAAATGTTTGCAAAAAGTACCGAGTATATTATAGTCCAGGAAAAAAAGACTTGGACAATGATTACATAGTGAGTGCAGATTGAGTGAAACCTGTCTTAAGTTGAACACTGAATAAAACGAAAGATTGTACTAAGCAGAAATTGTGTATGGTCCCGTGCGATTCTGTCTCAAGACAGGTTTCACTGATTTCTTTAAAAAAAAAAAATGAGTTTTCAATCGATTTTGTAAATATATTTTACAGGTCGATCATACCATCATAATGTATTTGGTCAATCCAGAAGGCGAATTCATTGATTACTTTGGACAAAATAAAACCGCCGAAGAAATAGTCGAACATATATTAATGCACATGTTTAAGTTCAAACAAGAAAAAGGATCATTGCTGACTAATACTATGAACAAGATCAATGCATTGACTAACAAAACGAACATTTTTTAAAAATCAATTTTTTTTTTTTTATATATATATTATAATCCTAGTATAATAACATTAGCTTTTTCTGTATCCTACATCTGTCTGTTATCGTTGATAAATAATAATAAAAAAAAACAACGCTATAAAAGCTTATTGCTTCATTATTTTGAATAATGCTTCCCTTTGCTTCCATTTTATACAAATCCTTGGAAGAAAAAAATACTTTGTTTACATCGCGTTAAGCCACGCCCAGGGACTAAAAGGTCATTGATTATTATTTATTATTTATTTTCCTCAAAAATCTGGAATTTATAACAATTGTAAATGACAAAATAATAATATTTGTATTTTGTTTTCCATTCAATTGGGAAAATACCCTCTGATTGACATATTGTAATTTTTTTTTATTTAACAGTTTATTTAAATCCGTTATTTTATAATATTAATCATATTATGCATTGTTACTGCACATAGTATGCGTTTCCGCTTGTAAACAAAAGGTGTATTGATTGGAGTTTCGTATTTTGTTTTATGTAATATATTAATCTCGAAGGTAAAGTATTAAATATTAATTTATAATAATTATTGATAATGTCACTAGTATTTTCAAAATGGTCGATAATATTAAATGCGCAAGATGAAAAACCAATTTTCAAAGATAAAATCGTACGTTGAATTTCACTTAGTACTCTGTAACTGCGCATTATTGGCTATAAACTTAAATTGTATAAACCGCATAGTTTATGTGCCATTATTAGTTTACTCTCTGATGATTAAAATGCGAATTACCCGAGTTTATTAATGATTTACTGAAGTTTAGAACAGATTAAGGTAAAATACCTATACACTTTTATGTATAATATATATACGTTGTGTTAGTATGTTACTAGACAGTATAGTAGCTAAGTGAACAGATTTGACTGCAGCTCTATCCAATTGTAATATCAATAATAACTTTAAAAAATAATAATACTCTAAGCAATTTATTTATATATTGATTCTTTTTTTTAAACTACTTATTCAACGATATTACTATAGACTAAAATAATTTTTATTTATAAAATTATTACTCAAAAGATAATTTTAAGAAAAAATGTTTACAACTGAACTTTTATGTGTCCAAATGTCGACTCAAATTTTCACTGGTACATCTAGTTATATTCCAAATCACATCCATAGTTACAATTCGCATATATAAAAACTATAAATTCTACAGAAATTCTGAATTGAGAAAAAAATAGAAAAATAAGTTTCCTATTATTAATTACTCGGACATATTAACACACTGACCACCAAATGGTGTTTCTTACAACATTGGTGGTAATGTAAATACTAAGGCGCTTGAAAACATTTTGGAAGAATGAGCCCCTTATTTCCACCATTAATAATTGATTAGCCATTTATTAAATTTATATATAATATAATATTTAATATTTAATAATGATCTAAAATCGCAGGGATGAAAGGGAAAAAGGATCTAGAATCGGATACTCCAGACAATGTGTGCCGCGATTTCATGCGCAATGTTTGCAATAGAGGCAAATCTTGCAAATTCTTTCATCCTCCGATAGAAGAGGATAAGCGTAAATATGTATTTTGCCACGACTTTCAAAATGGCAAGTGCAGTCGCCATGACTGTCGGTTCATTCATTGTTCTCGAGAGGATGAGGAATACTATAATCAAACCGGACGCATGGCACCGGATGTTCTGAGAACCTTAGAAATGAGCGGCGCGCCCTCTTCTGAGGACATACCTATTTGCAAAGACTACTTGAAAGGCAATTGCCATCGCAGTCAAGCGCATTGTAAATTCCGACATGTAGATCAACCGCATGACATACCCGTTAGAGGTCCTAGTGGTCCTTATAACGCACCACAACCACCAACAATGCCACCTAACTTCGGCAACGAACCGTTTCGCAGGCGTTTTGAATATGATGAAGAACCCGATCCCAAGCGCAGGCGCTATGATTTCGACAACAGAATGCCGCTAGGGCGTCCGTTCCCAAGTCGCGACATGGAATTTGCTGCTGCTCCGCCCGGGTCTACGCAACAACAACCTTACTGGTTGTTGCAAGACGAAGTGGAGATGTTGCGCAAGCGCGTGGCCGAATTGAAAAAGCGTAATGAGGAACTGCAGGCAACTAACGAATTTTTGTTGGAACAAAACGCACAGCTGCGCATTAATGAACAAGCGCCCCTGCGCAGCACCCAGCAAATGGTGAGCGCTATACGCACCGTGACCACAGTCCCAGTCAGCTTGGCGGCGGTGGCTGCGGCCGGCACGCCCGTGTCCATAGCTACCGTCTCCATGGCTCCGATTCAGATACCACCTGTTGTATCTGGATCTGGCCCGCCGCCCCTGCCGCAGTCGACTAACTCGCAGCCTTTGGTATCTTATCCTATTGGCAGATCAACATCGGCCCAACACTATATCCAACCGTAGGTATGTTCCTACCATTTAGTTTTTCTGTTTTCACTCACAAGTCTCGAATTGCTTTTACATTTTTACAACATTTATTAACATGTTGTGACTCCTATCATAATTATAATTTTACCTTTTGTGGACATCTTTTAGTTTGATCATTCCAGAAATTTCATTATTTTTGCAAAACCTTTTTGAAGGGATTTTATATATGCGGCAATTTAGAATATCTATTTCATCTTGGCAGGGGCGTGGGCATGGCAGTCAAAATTTGCCCAGATGAAATGGACTGATTAAATTATTCCTAATTATTGACATTAATTGTTATAAACTTACACTTGTATGTTTGTATTGTTTCAGTTCATGAACAATGAGAATGGGAACATTACTAATAGAGATTTGACATTAACAAAACAAAGAATGTATGATTTATATTTCAATAGGAACGTATTATAATTTTTTTCTTTTTTAACTCCTTTATCACCCGTTTTATGTAAACTTATAAAATAAAATAATGTGAGTTGTAAAATTAATAGAAGTACATCAAATTTTTGACAACAGATAAACTAAATTTCATGATAATTGTATTTTTTTTTTTTTTTTAATTGCTATTATTATTAAAATACAGTACGGCATATTAGTAGATACGAAAATATAGCTTTAAATACTATTTAAATTGTATAAATATATTGTACGTATAAACAGATTTAATATCTCATTTTATGTAATTAATATTAAGAGATACTGGCTTTGCAGTAGTGTGTTTTACTTAATTGACTCAGAATTTTTCTTATTGACTAGTCAGTAAATTGGTTATAAGAGGTAGATAAAAAGTTAAGTTATTAAATTGCAAAACTTACTTATGGTCAAAAGTAGATAAAAATTTTACAATATTAAACTTATATTAGCGCAAGCTATGTTGTGCAAATAGTTAAGGTACTGCAAAAGTACACTCAACTCATCATCATCGTCGTCCTCTCAAATGACTTTCCTTATTTTGTCACTGGAGCCTATCATAATTATTTTCATTCGAAACAGACCTATGATTCCGTTCAAGGATATGCAAAAAAAATCTGTCAGTTACTTCTCGGTGTAAGAAATAAATTGAATTGTAACTTTATATCATTAATAAACTATCCAACATCATTACCTATGTTCTATTTTATTTTTAATTAATTCATACATTTTTAAGGTGTGATCTTTTTCCTTAACATACGCACCAGGGTTTTAAATATTCACTTTTTTGATATTTTTAAACTGGCACCCTCTCAATTTTTTTGTTATCTGTAAAAACATAAGTATGCCAAAGTTCAACTGAATTGAACGATAAAAACATTAATTTTGCAAAGCCTTTGAAATACCAAACATAGTGCCCAAATGGTTAAGTAATAAAAATATTAAAATCGATGATTTAAATCAAAATTTTGTTGGATATAATTTTATTGGAACTTATAAATAAAGTAAAACAATTATTTCGTCTATATCATAATAATAAATATAAAATAATAATTCCATTATTATTATTATTGTTTAATTCAGTTAAAATGTGGCATACTCGCGTTTTAAAAGATTAAAAAAAAGTGAAAATTTGAATCAACCTTATATGCAATGTGTATCGGCACATGGTCGTATGTTTAATTGTGAATCAGAATAATGGGTTATAATATTTGTTTTTTTAAACAACCAATTGTTGAATTTTTTTAATTATCATCACAACTTTTCTATGATAAATCAATAATATTATTGTCGGTAACTAAACAAAAAAAAACATAATGAGAGTTCATAGATTTTATTTATTGTATGTTACATTTTATAATGAATATAATCTGATGGTATGAGACATTTTATAAATTGTACAATATATAAGTCAAACCGTATAATATATACATAATACATAAATCTAAAATGGAGACTGGCAGTGCGTGACATCACAATCACCACCAAGTGAAATAAATTAACTATCTCATGGTGAAATCTAATTTACAGTGTAATCGTTAGTTTTTGAGTTAAACTGTAAAACCGTCAGTGGCGGTTCTAGCGTACGGGCAGGGTGGGCAGCTGCCCGTACCAGAATGTATGAATTATAAAAATATAGTTTATATTACCTATAATTTATTATAACATTATATGTTTAACTACATTTTGTATAAAGAATAAAGAAATTGCCCGTATGAAATTTGAGTCCTAGAACCGCCCCTGAAAACCGTACTCCAGTTTTTTTTTTTAACGTTTAGCAAAATAATTGATTTATTTAATTTCTAAATGTAATGAGATAATAATTTAAAACCACAATAAACGGCCAACTTAATCTTAAAATGTTTTATCCTTGCAAGTACACGTTATATACGTCAAACTGTCCACCCGTCTCTTTGCCCCATTTGTAATTTGTATTATATTGCGATTGGCAACCAAAGTAAAACCATTATAACCGATCTGTGAAGTAGTACACATAAAGCCATGTTTAATAAAATGACCGCGTAATAACTCTTCTTTCAAAGATTTTACTTACAAATCGTTGTTTTGTTTAAATAGCTTTTATTTTCAGTGATTAGGTATAATAGAAAATGAATTCTATATTAATTATTTTAGTTAACTTATGTTTAAAATAACGAGCAATAGTATTCTGAATTTACTCTATTAAACATTAATAATAAAAACTTAAAAGTTTAGGACAAAAAAAATATACACATGATATTCCTGTAAAAGAACTCAAGACATTGGAAATTAACAAGGCCAAACCTTAGACAAAAAATAGTAGTAATATATAAGATACAGATAGAGCGAGGATAATTTCTACTTAAAAATTACAAATAGATTTATTACTAATAATTATCTAGTAAATAAAGCTACAGTTGTTCTGTATTTTTTTTTTTTAAATCTCCGACAGAGTTTTTAGTACATTGTTTTACGTTGTTTACAGGAGTTAAAAAAAAAACATTTAAAGCATGTTTGTGTGAGTGTGTGTAAGTGTTGTTTTTTATGTATACTTATTATTTATAATCTATATCACGGATGTATGTGACTAGTTCACAATCTTTCTGTGTAATCCCACCAATCTTTTTCGTAGCCTTCGTGAACGTGTTCTAGCAATACTTTTCTTCGACTTTCGCAATAACTAAATAATAATAACAAAATATATATTATATTAATTTGTTTATTTTAAAAGATTATCTAATGTTGATAGGTAGTCCATATTACCGATATTTATCTTGGACTTTCTGCTTAATGTCTGCTAGATTTTCCGAAGTAATATCTCTCTCCAAATATTCTGATAAAATTTCTGTAGCACTTTCTAAATCTCGTTGATTATCCTAAATTTGGACAAATTTAAAATTACGTACATATATATTTTTTCAGTAATAAATTAAACAAAATGGATTATCAATTACCTCGAAAAGTACAGATTGGTTATTTTTCTTGAGATAGTATGCAAATACATAAGTGTACATAAGTGTCTGTCTACACTGGCAAAGTATATCTACAGCTTTTTTTAAAAATTGAACCTGAAAATCATAATTACATTTTAAACGATCTTTTATCAGTATAAAAAAATATAATAATGAATAAAATAATAGCATTAATTAAAATAACCCATTGTTTACAATGATATGGTCGCTGTTTTTATTTTAAGACTAATTCATACTTGAGAATTGGCGTTAGCTGAAAAAATACTGGTTTTTTAAATAAGAATTTTCTAAAAAATATATTGTTTGAAAAGTTAATTCAAATTTGTATTAGATTATATTTTACAGTCTTTACAGTTTGAATTTGTACAATGAGGAAAATTATTTAAAACATATTTATACACGATTACAGTAGTTAGAAAATCTATCAAAAGTTGCCGTAAATTAATTTTTTTTGTTTATCCCTTTTTAGTCCCCTTGTACATTGTATTGTACATACATTTTAATTAATTTTCATTCCGTTTAGATTAACCTTACAGGATCTAGCGGTATCTTTGAATTCGTAAAATTGTTAGAACCAGAATAAAATATAATATTGATTATATGTTATCAATGTTTTTAATAAATCTCTCTTTAAACAAAAAAAATTTGATAAAGACGCTATTATATTTTTTTTCCACATAAAAAAGTCTGGACTGAAAGGGTTAAAATAAAAAAAATAGTTTTAATTTTAAACTGACGAACAGAATTTTAACAATATCCAATTGTTGATAAAAATAGTATACACCAAATGGTTAAAAAATTCTACTCGACCTCAGGATTTACCCTCCCTTCCTATATTTCTTGAGTAAACATTTCTTTATCCAATTTTGTCAAGTCATCACCCTATATAATATGTCACAATAACATTGCTGTTTCCAGTAATATTTACCTCGATCCACGACATATTGTGCTGTTGCATTTCTTCCATTTTTTCTTTAACGCTCGCATAAAGCTTGTGTTCAAATTTTAGAGATTGCATATGGTTCATATAACGATTACAGTAGAAAAGATACCTCTGCAATGCAGCTCTGGATCTTTCTTGAGCGTCTCTGGCAGCTTTTGCTTCTTCTTCGTCGTATCGGTTACAATTGTACCTAAACAATTATAACTCGCGTAAAAAAAACAAAGAAAAAATATATATCATAATCTATTGTAACTTGATAATAACTTAGATATTCACCACATAATTGATGAACATGATAAAAACTGTTATATTCAAATTCTGTCCACACAATTGTCAGTAAAATCATAATAATAGTAATATCACTTAAATCACAAATGACTAATGAAAATAAAATAAATATTTCATACACTAGGGCTAATTAAGGAAAAAATAAAAACATATTATCATTTAGAAATAATGACTAAAAAAAAAATAATAAAGAAACCCATAAATTTGTAAAATAATTATGCGGAAATTAAATGATTAATATTATTGACAATCAATCGTAAAACTATATTACAATCAGAAAAACTGTTTAATTCACATATTTGGACAATAAATAATTTCATGACTTCTCTTTTTAATTTTCCTACTTCATATATCTTTACCCCTCTCTCGCCTTGTCATTGTAGGGTTAATTTGGTCAAATGTATTATTTAAACATTTTTCTGGAAATTGTACAATACAATGTTCTATATAATATTATGAGAACAATATCAAAGTGATATTCGATGTGTAGTTATGATTGAATAGGAATTAAATAATCAAACTAATGAAATACATAAAACTCAATTTCATTTATCATGCCTCCTTATATAATACCTAATAAACAAATAAAGTATATATTTTTATTATTCGCAACTCCAAAAAGAGGTGAAATGTCAAAATTTCAAATAAGTAAAATAATTTTAAAATAACACACAGACATTTTACGCTAAAAAAATTCTACGAGTAATTTAATCGGATTTCAAGTGTTATACTGTTAATAAATAAAGTAATATAAATACTCTTCGTGGTTTTTTAAGGATAGTAATAAAAGTAAGTATGGTAACAAAATGTGTTTTAAAAGTGTATGTTAAATTTGTTTGCTATTAATTTAAACTAACTTGAAATTAATTTTGAACCTGCCTAACCTTACGCCAGAACTGGCTTTGAGAATAAGAAAATTAAAATGTATAATCATGCTTTTATTTTACAGCTCAAGCAGCCAATTGTGGTAATTCCTAATAATAAATTATGTATATGAAATAATGAAATGTATATTGAAATCTTATTGACTAATATAATGTTAGTATAACCACTTGAGTATAGATAAAATTATTGGTAGGTAGTGGAGGAAATTAATTTATAGCGCAACACAAATAGCACCAAGCGTGTACCTATGTTCCATAGTTTTGTCTGTGATTTACCAGTTTTGGCCACTAGAAAAAAATGAAAAAGAAGTACAGTATTTTTGGAAAACACACACACACTTATATACATATACATAATATATAAATAACTATTTTGGACTTTTTTTGAAATATTATGCTTCAATCTACTCTAGTTAATAAAAAAAAAAGCTCTACAACTTTTACTGCTCGATCTCAATATTTACCCGTAACCTATAAAGTGGTGAAGTTTTCCATTTAAATAACAAATTAAATTAACAGATTTAATAAATATTCATCTCTGGTGATGTGCACAATTTTCAAATTAAGGTTTTTTCATTTGTTTATTACAGCATGAATATATAGTATGAATAATTGGAAATATGTATATAAATTGTTCCTTCAAAATATCTAGCAACATGTTTAATATACTGTACATCAGCAAACCTATTCACTACTTAAAAAAAAAAAAATAGTCAAAAGGAAAAAAGATATCATCTTAACACTTGTTAATTGAAATGGAAATGGCCAGGTGGATACAGACAAATTGGTGAGTTAGATTTTGATGTGCAATCTAATGAATAAAACAGAATAGTAATATAATAACACTTCGCTATTCTCTCCCATCAATAGAAAATCAACGGTTTTTCTCTTTTGCTCTTCTACATCATTCAACTAATACAATTTGTATTAAAAAAGTATTCACTTTAACTGTGTATAATGACATAGGTACACACAGTGTTATTTTTTAATTTATTATTAGGTTTAAATTTAATAATGTTACCATGATGATCCATGCGGTTCCCATGGGCCAAGACAGACCCAACAGAAATCGGTCTTGCAATTTTGATTTTTACAAACCATATGGTTACAACCACCATCTTTTTCTATTGTAACATTACATTTAGGACATTCCTAAAAAAAAAAAAAATACTTATTAATACATTACCGTATATTGAAAAAACTAGACATTTCTATTAGATCAAGCCAGCCAAACCATAAGCATGCCGTTATCCACCCTTTGTAAAGGATTTAGAGGGGAAGTAATGAGGTCATTAAACCAAAGTTTAAAAAATATATTTTTTAAGAACCAATATTTTTTTTGGAATTGGAGGTAACTTTTTTAAACTCTCTACGTCTTATACGTCAAGGGCAAGTGGAACAATGTTACAAAAATTTGTTTTAGTTAACCTAATGGCACAAGTGGAAGTTTTAAAAAAAATAATTTTAAGACCACTGAACTTAACCTTGATTATTTGTTTCTTGAAATTAAAGAAAACTCAACTCCGATAGACATATATAACTCGTAAAATTATTAAGATATCAACAACTTGAAAGTTATTTTTAAGTAGTTGAACTTTATTATTTTAAATTCAGTTAGCCATATAATGGTTTCTTAATCATTATTAAGTGGTCCATGATAGGCCTATTCAATTTTAATGAACCATTAAATATATAGGTAATAAGTAAACCCAAATTAACCTAGCCTATCTAACCTGGCATGTATAATTAAATTAATAAGCATAATACATGTTTGAAATAGTTTACTTTAGTATTAGCTGCTATCCAGTTAGATGTTTCGGAATCATCATCACATTTTTTGATCCATTTTCTTAATAAATTACATTTTACTGGATCATGCCAGTTTTCTCCACAAACAAAACAAAATACATGCAAACATCTGCACGTGACTGGTTTTGATTCGATGTATTGGGCTTTAATAACATTATTGCAGTCAGGTGATGGACACCAACGTAATAATCGATTACACTATAATTTTAAATGTGGTTAGAATAAAACAAAACATTTGTTACAAATATAATTAATAAAATAAACTGACTTCGACAAAACTATTAGTTATTAGGTGTTGGTATTTCATTCGGACCTTTGGGTCTCTCACTAATCGCATTACTGTGACATCATCTACTAATATATCACAACCGCTAGCAGCGCAAGCAATTGTTTGACCAACACCTTCTTCGATAATCTTTGTCGTCAAATATTCTGTCCAGCACTGAGCGCAAAATCGATGATTACATTCTAGACCGGTCATCAACTAGAGATATAACAAAACAAATTTAAAATGGTATATAAATAATTACAATATCATATCAATTTGTTTTAAACTCTTACAATAAAATTAAATCAACTTACATTAGATGGTAGTCTTGCAAAACATATAGTACAATCTTCCATCCCAGAAGTACCTCTTCGGGTAGACGATGGCTAAATATAAATAAACAAGTAGATATTAATACTGCCATACGTTGACTAATGCAAAATAATTAGATAATTTATGCTACTAAGTTTTTGATTAAATTGAACAAAGTACACTGCTAATTACTACACAAAACATAAAAATAACAGAAGATAAAAATTGTAATATGATAATTTTAAATTTAATTAATACTATGAGTACTAACACTTTTATTTAATCTTATGTAAATTATCAAAATAAGAATATTTAATGTATAAATATAAATAAGTATATTTAATTATAAATACCCTTTGTATGATTGGTTGTGTTCTTTTGAATGGATTTATGACTCGGGCTTCTGAAAATAATTTATCTTGATCACCATCATAAAATCTTTCCATTAATTTTTCTTTGTCCCACTTGAAATGGTTTAATAAAATACGAGTAGTTGTAGCCGGCATCTGAAAACCACCGCAAAGTTGAGTACCGTTATATTTACTTGACAATGAACTACTATTATTACTATTTATTAATAAACTTAACTTTTAAATATAATACAACAAACTAGATTGTGGTAGCAAAATTTTTAAGATAAACTGGATGGACAGATTAACCAGTAATGAGGTACTGGAGAGAATATCAGAAGTAGGTAAAGGAAGGCTGAAGAGGACGAGAAAAAGACGTAATGAGCGGATAGGTCAAATATTTAGATTAATCCTTTAGACACAATAGATTTGTCAAATTGACTATAAAAAAAGAGCCTTATAGGAAAGTACCACTGGGGGAAGATTGCGTTTGATACAAATAATAAAAGATGTAGAATGTGATTCATATTATGTGTAAATAAAAAGGATAGCGAACAACAGAGACAAGTGGAGATGGTTGCACACCAGTCTACAGATTGATAACTACAAACAAATTAAGGGAATACTTATGTCAATAATCATGCAAAGAATTACTTGAAGCACTGTGTTAACTTCCTTGATACAATCAATCATGTGCTGAACAATATTTTCAGTGGACAAAACTTCAAAAGGAAATTCATCTACATCTAGATTTTTTTCCCGTTCATGCCGCACATCAACTTCCATCGGAAAGTCCACATCGTCACCACTGGACTCGTTACCAGAATCTACGTCGTTTAATGCATCCTCATCTGAATCCATAACGCAACGGCCTATGTCCAATGGCCAAGTAGACAAATTTTAAGATTAATTTATTTTGTACCTATTAAAATTTTTTTTTCGTTATTGGAGTATTGTTCTTGATAGACTTGAGCTGAGAGTGCCACTTGGTAATTTGACTTCTATCTCGTTCAGATGAGCGCCAGGAGATCTTAAACTGACAAAATGTTCTTAGTATATCTATGTAACTAAGTCTAAAGATTTATATATATGTATTATGTGTACATATATACACACAAACGTGTATGTATATACATAATATATATATATATATATTATGTATATTTATTTATGTTTTTTTTTCTTACGAACAATATCTATCTGGTTTAAAGACTATTTATTTTATTTTATTTTGCCTAGCATGTAGCAATCAGTTGTTTCCTGACCCCGTGACGTCATCTACTTTGTGTGAGCCAAATAGCGAATGTTCTCTATAAACTCCTTGGGTTTCATGCTTCAACTACTATATTCTCAAGCGTTGGCAGCACTGCATATTTCGGAGTTTTGATTGTGAATTGTGTTTAATGATACCGTAATTAATCTGGTGGATTTATCACCTATAGACTAGAACTGTGAACCTGTATATAATAATTAATGGTAAATTTGGTAATACCAAATCTGAACAGTAATACTCCCTATGTATTTGGATTAATCTAATTGATTAATAACTACTGAATAATAAATATACAAATTATTGAGTTTTTTTTTTATTAATGTTATTTAATAATAGCATTATTTTATAACATAATATAATATATTATTTTTATTATTATAATTAATAAAATATAACTCAATACTTAGTAGTACATAATGACATAATATAAATGAGTTAAAAGATTAAACTTAAAAGCTTAATATATACTAACAAGTTTAATAATAATTTATATATTAGAAAATAATGAAGTAATTTTTTTTCTGTTAAATTTTTTATTCTTCATTACTATTTTGGGTACAGGGTAATAGTTTCTAGGTACTTACTTCTATGTATTTTATTTAAAACAAAAATGTGGAATACTAATAATTAATGGCTACCCACTAAATCAAGTGTAATAATAACATTGTTGCTATTCATTTTATAGGTTACCATTTTGGTTTAATTATTTATGGTGATTGATGGGACGACAAAAGTATACCAACAGTTTTGACATCAAAATAAAGAATTAACTTTTGACTATTAAGTATTGGAATATTATTTCTTAAAACTATTAAATTTTAAAAAAAATGGGATAATAAACTTTACAAATAGTGGATATAGAAGATAAAATATCGAAGAACAAATTACAATAATTAACAATAATAAAAATAATTTATTTAAAATAACTTGAGATCATATAATTATAAAAATAAATATATTTTTGAGTAAAAAAAAAATATTAATATAATTTGTCTTTATTTTTGTCATTTGTTAAGTCTAATCTTCTTTAGTAGCTATCATAGGGAACCGTACGACCCGCAATTCTGTACCATAGTCACAAACAATGCTATCTGATAATGTCAACATTTGAGTAACAACATTACAGTCTGAATCTCCCAAACTAAATACTTTAACTGGATCTCCTGTTTGAACATCCATTATAACTATACAACCCTAAAAATCAAATACTTATTAAACAATGTTACACATCAACGGCTAACAGGCAAGTTATCCGCCATAGCAGTATATTAATAATAAGCAAGACAAAATATACATCAAATGAGCGCACTCTAATAGGTCCGCCTTTTTTGAAAATTAAATTACTAAATGTATGAAAAAAATCAAACTTGTGCACCAAACTTATGAATCAAACTTTGCTGAATGTATCGGCAATTTGCCTTTGTTCAAGTGTCCTCGTAAATTTAATATACCTACCTTAAGTTTAACTATTAAAAATAATACTAATATAGGAAAACTAGTTTTTTGAATCTTCTGAACAATCATAACTGTGACGGATAAGGCCAGTGGCCTGTTAGCCTTCAATATATGTATAATTTTTAATACAAAAACTAATACTATAATTAGAAGAAGAAAAAATAATATCTTGATGATTTACTATACCTGTTTAGAGGTAATGAGCAAATTGTGGGTCAGCATTGCTAAATTGTAACAATATACATTACACTGAAAAACAATACTAATTAAAAATACATTAAATGATAAAAGCCTTAAGAGGACGCCCCACCGGCCATTTCTAAAGAGTAAAGTATAGGCAATTTTTCGAAAAATCTTAATTTAGAGTTTGAACTATAATCTATACTTATTAATACAGTATTGAGGACACTTTGTTGATTGCCATTTTTTTTGTCAGACTATAATAGTCATTTCTATAGGTTAAAACACAATTTTTTTGCCATCAAAACTGCTTTGCGTGGATTAATTTTTTTCAGGCTTCATATATAGTTAAGGAAAGAAATTCATACATATTATTTATGACAAAATTATCTATGTTCCATCATCCGTATTTTTTCAATATATCTAATACAATCAACGCTATATCATTTTTAAAGAAGTCAAAAAAACCCTTTCTTAATTAATTATTCATTAACTGGTTGAAATATTACAAAAAGGGCGATGGTAGAACACAGACAATGTTGTTGTCTATATTATGTAAAAATTTGGTTTCTTAGTTTTGATTATAGCCTGTGTAAAATTAATCCGCGCAAGGCGGGCTTTTTGAAGAAAATAACGGGTGTGTGACGTCCTCTTAAATAGAATACCACATACAATTTGAATACTGTTAAGTTTATGACCATGAAATCGATCCCAAACACAAATTCGATCGTCTTGACCAATACTAATTACATAGCTGGCTGAACACGTTAAGCCTAAAACTGCCCCGTCGTGACTTTGTACTGTATACATACATGTACCTATAAATTATAACAATTAATAAATACTTAAATTAATTAGAAAATCTAATAATAAAGAATGTTTGAACAAACCAGTCACTAAATCCCAAACGCACATCATTCCGTCTTGACTGCCAGATGCTGCCATATGGGGATTTACTTGATCAATGAATAAGCAAGTTATTGGACCATAATGCCCGTGCAACGTGTACAAAAGCTGCCGATCTTCAATTCTAAATACCTAAAAAAAGTAAATAAGCAAGTAATTAAAGTAACAATTACTAAAAATCAAAATAGTAATAAGAAAAAAGATCAAGATAATTGCTAAAATTATTCACTTTACATTTTTAGGAGGATGAGTAGTAGTGGGTAAGGTGAGTGTGTAGCGCTCAATATCAAAGGTTCAACACTCGGCTATTAGGAGGCCTCTCTTATTAAGCCGACAACTATCTAGAGAGAGAGACAACCACCATCCCTATAGGCGACCGAAATAGGCCTTAAAAACCAACACTTGGTCAACAAAAAGCCCTTATCAAAAATAATTATAATTTATGATTCTATATTTTTACATAGTTCATTAAATGTTAATGTATAATGTAAAACTTTCCAAAATAGTTTTTCGTCAATAAAAAAAACAGCGAAGAACATTAAAGTCAAAGGCTAATAAATGAATCTATAACGATGTCGTTGTTTATGTATACAAATTTTGTTCCAAGTCATATAAACACAACAGCTACATTATTTAGTACCAAATTACTATAAATGACATTTAAAATTTACTTAATTAAAAACACTAAACAGCGGCCCCGCTAATAAATCTTACCACCCTATCGCCGCTACTTGTGTTTTTCAAGTTAACTAGAGTATAGTACTTATCTAACTTCACACAATATCATTATTTCAAACTTTAAATACATTGTAAGTCCCTGTGCCAAAAAAACATGCATGAGAAAAAGCACAGAAAATCTTTGCGACTTGTGTTCGCCAAAACTTTTTATAATACAGACTATAATTTCTAACATTAAACCAAGTGATTGTTAACAACAACGTCAAGTAAACAAAATCAAGTAATACAACAAAGATCAATAGGAATACTATTTTTAACCTTAAGCATATGATCTTGACTACCAGTGACAATAAACGCTCCATTAGTTTCAAGAACTGTTATTGGTTGATTGTGTGCTTTCAAAGATTCTAAATGTAGACATCGTACAGTGTCATTTGTTGAATTATAAGTGTTTATAGACGATCCTATACTTCCTGTTCGTACATGCTCTAAAACGAAGAAGTACATGACATATTATGTTTTCAATATTAACATAACAATAAACGTTTTAATACTTCTGTGGGCAAATTTGGTTTTTGATACTTCCACAGTTTCTCTAAGAGTAGAATCGCTGAATATGTCCAGTTTAAAATAATCTAATGATCCATTTAACCTTACAGCAACGACATACTTGTTGATTAATTTTATGGCTGTAAAACCGTCACTAGTATCAGTCTGCCACTGGCACTGAAATATTGTAAAAAAGTTCATGTTAATTATTTAATCCGACTGTATATAAAGTTGAACATCTATTTTTACTATTTTAATTTCTAAATAGGATTATTAAAATAAAAACTTTTAACTTTTGCAGGTAAATTCAAAATTACCTACAATTTGGCAAAATTAAGAAAATATAAAAACATATAACTGTATTAACAAAAATAAAAATAAAAATATGAACACACCTAAGGATATTGTCACCTACCAAAACTTAATTAGCTTGAAAAATAAGTATAGTTTAACAATATTAAAATGATATACTAAGCTCTATGACTAAATGTTAAGCCAAACTAGTAAGAACAGTCATGACAGTTTTGAAATATTTTATTTTTAAAAACCTTACTTTTAGCGATCCATTATATAAATCCCAAAATTGTAATGAACCATCAGCACATCCTAAAACAACAACATTTTCATTGCAATCAACACACCAAATCTGCGAGTTGACACTGATTTCATCTTCAGATAATTTTCTTGACCTAGTCTCCAAATCATTTTGGTTGATACTCAAAGGCAATTTAGATTTTTTCGCATCCTGGTTTAAGGTATCGGAATGGATGTTTTCATTAGAAATTATATTTTTGCACCTCGCACACAACCTTAAAGGTAATAGGAAACCAAGTAGAAAATGCAAAGTAACGTAAATTACACAGAATATTAAATAATTACTGCTCTGTATTTTTCAAAGGCTCGAGTAGCAAACGTGAACTATTGATGGAATCCGATGTAAAATCCATAAGGTCATTAGATGCATCTTCAGTAAAACTTATATCACCTATTTCATCATCACTCGAATCCTCTAAATTGTTTCTAAAAAAAATAATAATAATGTATCTAAAAGTAGCATTTTAATCATGAGGGGAGGGAAACCTTTAGACCCTCAAAATTCTTTTAAGCCCATAGCTGTTATTATAGGAAGGACTTCGAAGATCACAACAGAATTGTAAATACACTTAACCCTTCAGTCATAATAGATGCAGAATATATTTAATTTACCGATCGATATTACAAATTAACTCTCCAGTTAACGCGTTCCAAACATTGACACAACCTCCAAGACAAGTACTGACGATAATATTCCCATAAGTGGCAATGCATTCTACAGATTGCAAATGTCCTTTAAATTCTATTGGAACCGCTTCCAAAATTACCTAAAAAATACAATGTTAAAATATACCATTCATTGCAATATATTTAATTTAATAGCATTACAATATTATTATATTAAATTAAAATGGTGATATAATTATTGTAATAAAATAAAACCCAACTAACAAACCTGTATACCCGAATCATGCTGCACATAACTTAAATCATGACTCCAGCCAGCTCTCCATTCAGCATAATTGCGACTACATACACATCGATAAAGCATTACCAATGTGTAAACCAATACTAAAATGCTAATTAAACACAGAACAGTAATTAACATTAGTTCAGATGGCGATGTTGGTATAAACGGCTCGGATGAGTTATCAACATTTATATCCTTTCGGTTTTCTAGGGGAGCTACTATATGAGTATCTAAATACAGAAATTAGAAAATATACAAAGTTATGACTTATGGTATAGCAATAATTTGTTACAAATAGTTATTTTTTGTAACTGACCAACAAAATCAAAAGGATCAAGTGCAGCAGCCAAAGATTTCCAGTGGGACGGAAAAGATTTGTCAGCGTCATTAAGAGATTCTCGTAAGGACATCGCTTCTTTTGGCGTCACAGAATGAGCCAAAAGTATAGGTTGTAAGATAGACACATAAGAACCAGCAATACTCATATTATATAGACCCATCAAAAAAGGCCAATTGTACCACGAAAGTCTTGGCCAACATGGCCATTTTTCTGCATTTAACAGCTGTATATGATACGGAGAATCATTATCTTTTGTTTTGTTCATCTATATAAAAAAAAAAAAATTGTGACTGATTTAATAAAAATGAAGACTTAACAAGGAACACAGAACACTTGACCAATTTTAAATATTATGTAAAGATTGGATACAATGAAAAACATTGCTTTCTTGTAAGAAGCCAATAAATTACTTCAGTATTTTTTTAATTTCACAATTATCACAACTATATTAAGTTATCGATTACAACAAAAAGTAATAACTAACACACTTTCACAATATTTAAAATGTCTTAAATAATTGAAAATGGAGTATACTTCATATTTTATAATACATAGAGTATATTTGATATTATGATATATTCAATATACTCTATACCCTGTCCGCCAATAGAACATGCTGCGACCTGACGAAAACTCACTGTTCTGCGTATTTCCGCGCACCACCTAGTGTGACTAGGGTTCCCCCCTCCAAGACCGCCCTATTTGCCAGCCTATCCTCAACGGCTGCTAGGTAGCCAGTATACTTGAGCAAAACCGGCATGTTCTCTCAGTGGGCATGATATGTGCATATTATATTCTTAATATTCAAAATGGATACATTAAACAATCAATAATTATATGTAGTAATATGTAAAACTTTACTTTTTCATTTATATCTTGTTCTTTTTTCTCAGCATCTCTAGCTTTATTTTCAATAATAACAGCTCTTCGACCTTCTTCCCAAGCAAGAGGAAAATGTATATCGGAATTGTGCCGAGATTTTGGTAATTCCGAAGATGGATTAGATTTTCTCAACTCAAAAAAGTCTTGCACAGTTATTGTATTATAAATAATGCCAGATATCCAAATAATCATAATCAACATCAAAGCACGTTGAACTATTCTTATGGAGGCCCAAAAGTAAAGAAATTTTAAACGTTTAGATAAAGGTTTACGACGTGGATCTTCTATCGAGGCCATAATCTGTAGACCGTTTAACCGCGGATGAGATGCAGATTTTAACATAACTCCACTGCGACTCGTGTGTTTCAATGCAGGCGGGTTAGATTTATGCATTTTATTGGCTAAATTTGTAAACGAAAAAGGATAATACGTTTTTTGATACGTGGAATCTTCAACAGATTTCATATTTAAAGAAATAAGTGCAAGAAAGAAAACCATTTGAAAAAAGTAATCGCACAATAAACCCACTATAGCAAATATACAGAATTCCTATTAAAAAAAAAAACAAATTATAACATTAAAGATAATTTGTTGATTTATTAATTAAAATAAAGTTAATAAATTACTTGTATAGATGGCACAAAAGTTAACAGTCCTCCAGTCAAAATGGTAACTTCAATCAAAAGATTCTGTGTGATAGCCCATCCTTCGTTACTTATACCTTGAGCCAACCGTATTTTTACATCTAAATTAGGCGCCGTTGATCCCACAGATTTAATTATTATCAACATATTTTCCAGACCGACGACAATAACTAAGTAAGGAAACACCTAAGCATAATTATAAATATTTTTCATTATATTGTTTCATTTAAAACCAAAATTCTATTTCAAAAATATATAATGAGTATTACCATCTGACTTTGAACACTAATTGTAAAATCTAGTCCAAATAAAAAACACAATCCCATAGTTGTTAAAAGTGTTGAAACAACAGTGAAAACTGCACCACAACTTATTCCTATCTAAAAAAAAAAGTGTTGCCACCAATTATGAAACAAAATTAATCATTGATGGTAATTTAATATTAAACCATACTTTAGATCCAAACACATCCATTTTTTGAATTGAGTAATAAACATATACAAACAATAGTATATAGCATGTAATCAATACAAATATTGTCTCATAATTCACTTCTCCAGGGTAGTATATGTGCATCGTGGAAGTTTCCGAAAGAAGTTGAGATTGTTTTACATTTATTGGATATACGTCTTTTAAATGATTTTTCAAACCTTCAATATAACTAAATATCAAATAAGATTACATTAGTTTTACATTTATAAAAATTACACTCATCAAAAATAAAATGTATTTTAATTTCTAACGTCTCTCCAAGAAAACAGCAGGGCTTTGAGCAAGGTGTAAGGTTCCACCATACACCTTAAGTCCGTTTAGTAGTGCTGTGGATTCAAATCCAGTACCAAGTTTAACGTCTTTGCACAACAGCGCTACATTATTTAAATTACGTCTTAGGTTTTGGTAATACAAGAATGACAATCAATTAAAATCTATTGTTAAAATGGCAACGGATAAGATGCATTCAAAAGACAACATTTTTACCAAATAAGAAAGGCGGGTATACGAGTTTCTAATCCTACCTATTTCTTAAGTTGTACTAGCCCCTACTTTTTTTAACAATGGGATAACTTATCTAATATCTGTGATTATATGAATGACCGTTTGAATAATATGAAATATAAATATAAATAATTCATTTTTTCATTCCCCTTGAACTTCAAAGAATCAACTAGTGTGATTTCACACATGGATAATGTGTTGTAGACATTATTATTAAAAAAAAAAAAAAAAATGTTTTATTACGGAGGAACAAGCTGTTTCATAAATATTGTTATAGCAAACTGTACTACTCTTTGGCGAGGATGTACAGAATATCGTTTAATTCCTGTTTCCTTTATAGGCATCCCAAACACAATTTCTGGAATACTTATTTTTATATTCGATGGATTCTAAAAAAAAAGTTCAAAATTATAAATTTAATTTAAGTAATGTACACGTAAATTAAGTATGATCTCTGTTTAACAAATACCTGATGCGTGAAAATTGTTTTCACAAGATTGTTGTCAGCACGAAACTCTTCTGGATCTTGATGCCACAAGTTATTTGGAGATACAATTAAACAATTATACTCTGGTAATAATTTTATGTCAGAATTGATAGTTTCAACGTGCAGACAAATATCATTCAAAGACATTCTAAAAAAAAGTAATAAGTTAACTGTAAATCTAATAAAATGGGGTCACCTGAAAATGTAATTTTAAATGAATAGGGCAAATGTAAATGATACTTTTTGAATAAAGTACATGACAATTTTAAATTTAATTCAATACTTTAAATAATAAGATGTTAATATATAACATAAATAAATAAAATACAAATATTGTTTATTTAAAAAAAGTTGCACTTAAATTTGCCTTATAATTTACTAAAAAAAATAAGTAATTACTTATTTTGCATTTGGTAATTTCTAATGATTTCAACTAATCTAAATGATTCAGCTAAAGGACCTCTGAATGCATCCGATAAAACAAGATCTTCCGTCCAAGGAGTCACGATGGATCTCAAAATAATCTAAAAATAAATACTGTGTTAAAATAATACAATGTTAAGGAGAAGAAATTAAAAAAAAAAAATTATTTTATTGTTTTACATACACATTTTGTCATTTTTTTCATAGAAAAAAAATATTGTGCTTAACTTATTTATTTTAAACTTAACTTAGTATAAATTAATTAACACAGTTTACTTGTTGTATATATATACTAGGATGCCCATGAAACCATCGATTTGTTACATTGTCTGGCGTATATGTTGGTGTGACAATTGAATGTGCGACATTACTGAACAATGGCAATCCAAATAATGTTAAACTGGAAATAGTACAAATATATTACATATTATGTTTTCTATATAAATTAACGAAACAACTTAGTAAAATAATTATTTCACAACATATTTTTGAAATAGGTATACAGTAATTAGATATTGATTAACCTTTTCAATGAAAAATTCCCTCCAAATCTTATATGACTCTTTTTACTGAATTGTTAGTTTTAATTGTTTTAATATTTATTAAAATGAAATCATTGAAAAAGCGTTTACTTTATAACATTTATTCAAAGCATATATTTTTTCAATTAAAAAGTTGAATTACCTGCATGTAATTACAATAAATACAGCTAACACCAATGCAAAAACAGGATGAGAGGCACAAAATAATCCGTAGGAATAATAAAACTGCGACACCTTGTTTGGAAGGCGTTTTGGAACAGAAGTATTTTCCCAATTAGAATTCACCATCGTACTACTAAATCTAGAACTTAAATTTAAAAAAAAAAAATTACTGATGACTACAAAACTGTACAAGTGGGTGACGGTAGTAATAAACAAAAAAAATCATACCTTCTTAATAGTAAGCATTCTAAAAAACATTGTGGTCAAATTACTAGCTCGAATTACTTCAAGCTAGAGTTCACAACCATAGTGCGAAAAATAATCGAATTGACCTCGTACAGTAGATTTTAAAAAACCATTATTAGAAACTGCCAAATTACAATTTTATAATAAAAAACTACAAGGGTACGAGTTAATTTTTTTATACAAACAATAGTAATTATTGTACAATCAAACAAAAACCTGAACGTGTTAACCGAGGTTTGACTAGTTCATCTTGAAACTGAACTTGAAACCCTTATAATACTACTATTTACAGTTTCAAATTACACCGTCGTCACTCACTAGCTGCATAACGTGAATAGTGAACCGAAATGTGAATATTATATTGTGATAAAAAACCAACTTGATAGTGACCACGCTAATTATTGTACACACTACACGCTAGGATGGGATCACACCACTTTTACCAAAGACAATTTTCCATTGTACACTTTTCCCAATGACCAGTTTTTTATCAAGTTTTTTTAAATTTTCAAAAAACTTCACTTAAACTGTAGCCTGTTAGACTAGACTATAGGCTGTAGCCTGCAAACCTAGGATATTTTTAGTTTAGCGGAGCGAAACGACCGATCGAGTGAGTGCCAAAAGTCAAAACACTCGAAGACCTTATCAATACTAATTCTGCTCGCTGTCCGCTGATAAGTAATTCGTCATGGACATTGGTAATTTATGCATTTTGGTAAAAGTGGCAGCAACCCAGAATACACTCGTCCATTTACAAAGTCCTTGGTACAAATTCCGTCCTTATCACGGCCGTTATCAGTTTGGAATTGGAGTTGAGACAAAATGTTCATGTTACCAAAAAAACAATAGTACAAACGAATTCTCCAGTTGTTGCCATTTTACGCTCATTTTCAGAATCGACATTAAATTGGCACGTCTTGCAAACAAATCTAGTTCCGATTAAAATATATTTTTTGAACATCCTGAAAAGTAAGTAGGTACGTTTATACGACAAAAATATTCTCATGAATACTAACCACCAGGGCGTAATAATAATTTATACATAAATATATAAAATTCGCACAGAAATGTCCGGAGGAGATTTGATTAAAGATAATATTGAAAATTTGGCCATACACGATGACGACGAAATCGATTCTAGCTACAAGCCACCACCGGAAAAATCCATTGAAGAACTTTTAAGTGTCGACAAGGAAGATCCTAGTTTACAGAAGTACAAAGAAAAGCTCTTGGGTGATGCTAATAGTGGAAAAATTATTTTTGGTAAGATCATAATTTACTTAACTATGTCATAAGCTCTTGACACATTCAAACCTGTATTACTTATTATGAACTACAGTAAAACCTTTCCAAGACGCACCCTGACTAAATTGTAAAACTGATAACACTCAATTTGTGTATGGCCCTGCTAACCTGCACTTTGCATGTATATTTTACTGAATAAGATGGGGATCTACTTACTGCAGAATATTTTTCATTTGGTTTCATGTGATTCCATCTTAGACAGATTTCACTTAATTATATTTTTAGGTTAGACTATATTTTTTTAGATTCTTGATTCTTTTATTTTTTAGAATAGGTGGCTTGGTAAAAAACAACTACAGAAATTGGTTTTTTGGAATATTAACCTCTGATAGTGTGTTGGGGTTCATTAATGTGACAAAGATTTTTAAACATTTTGAGTCAACACACTAACGAAGGGTTAATAATCCCACTATTAAATTTAATTAAGAACACCTCTCCAGACTTCTCAGATAGTACTCAGAAACTATTAAACGTAGAATAAATCTAAGGATATCCAAAGAAAGCTTGGAATGTTTACTATGTGCGTTTAGAGCAATATTCCCAAACATTTTTTGCTTACATTATTTACAGTAAGAATTTTTGCATTATTCAAAAGTTCATAAAACAAATGTCAATAAAGGTATGGTAAAAACTTTCTACCTAAAGATACACAGTAGGTTTGTACTTTTAATATTATAATCAAATCTCTACAACAAAAAGCATTCGAGTACTATTGGTAGTGGGAGGGGATGTTTTTATTGTTTTTATAATAATTGTAATGTCGAGAACTGGTGCGCTTTATAGCCAGTATAATGCTCTACAACTGGTTTCTGCCTGCTGCAGCAAAATGGAAACAATAACGGCGCGTTAACCACCTCAATTCACTGAAATAACAACAGATTATCTAATTTTATCTAATATTTTATATTTAAAAACTATTTTCAATATTAGAGAAATAATTTTAGTTACACAGCAATGCCATTATTTTATTTTTCTAATTTAGTATTTTATAGCGAATTTCAAAACAATTTATTATTTTGTTCTTAATTAATAAAAATAAAATATTAATAAATTAATACAAAATAAAATGTATAGACCAGAGGTTCTCAAACGTATTCCTCCCACCGCCCACTTTGAGAATCAAAAATTTTATAGTGCCCCCCAATATATTGCAAATGAGTTTTTTTAATGAGATCAATTAAAAAAATGCATACGAAACCATATTTAGAAGTATTTTTATTACAATTAAAACAAAGTACAAAATGATTATGTAAATATAATTATTATTAAAATTATTAAATTAAAAACTTATTTAAATTCTAATGTGAATGATGAATTTGATGCAATTTTACCAGTTTGTTTATGTCAGGCTCAAATTTACTTAAAAACAGCCGTAAATTGCCACGTTCAGTGACATGCAGCCGATTTCTCTTTTTAGTTAATAGCGTCGCTACAGCACTAAATCCACGTTCAGACAAATACGATGATAGGAATAACACTGGAAGTCTAGTATTAATGTTAATGTTATTAATTGCTACTAATAAAAAAGTAACAGGTAGTAGATTCTTGGGGTATGCTGTTTTCTTGGTTAACTAATTGTAACGAACTTGGGTGATTTTGTAGATAGCCAGCTATAGATAGGTGTGCATGTTTTTTTAGTATGCAAATAATACTCTAATATTATTGGAAATTTATAGATGAGAACAATCCAAATAAAGTTATTGTTAAGAAATTAGCTCTGTGTGTCGCAGATAGACCTGACATGGAACTTGATTTATCTGGAGATTTAACAAATTTGAAAAAGCAGGTCGGTAATGAAAGTTTGAAATTATTTTTCAACAATTTTAAACATGGTCTTTAACATATTTTTAGGTTTTTATAATCAAAGAAGGAATTTCATACAAGATTAGAATAGATTTTATTGTTCAACGGGAAATCGTTCATGGATTAAAATATGTTCAGAAAACTTACCGTCTTGGTGTACCAGGTATGTATCTAAAACGGATTTATAAAGATTGATAAGGTTTTAATTGTTACAAATTCTGTCTATTAAACAGAATTCAAGAAACAGCAAATCATTTGCAATTGACTGTATATTAAAAAACAAAGCATTTACAAAATGAATGCTTAATCAAATTCGATCATGTTGACTTATTTTTAGGCCAGTGTAATTATAATTGAATATATGTATTAATAAAATACTTTTTTGTTATTAGTTGACAAAATGACTCATATGGTTGGATCCTACCCACCGAAAATGGAAATACAGAGCTATACAACACCGGCTGAAGATGCTCCAAGTGGTATGATAGCACGTGGCTCTTACACAGTTCATTCTTTGTTTACGGATGACGACAAAAACGAACATTTGAAGTGGGAATGGGTATTTGAAATAAAAAAAGACTGGAAAGACAACTAATTTGTAGTTTTGGACTATCAAGTACAAAGTCAATAATGACCTATTTGCTTACAAACATTTTATATAATCAGTAATCACAAGATATATTTTTTCTTTTTCAATTTATATATTATATATCAACTTATAATTTAATCAGATTATTCATAGTTTATTGTTACTCCAATATTTATTGAACAAATTTTGTGGTCTAAATTATTGTTAAAAAAAAACTAATTTATGTAATACTACTTATTTGAGTGCCAAAGTAAAATATGATCAACCCAATGTGCTCGGGTCTTATTTTAATTTATATAAATACTAAACAAATTTAGGGACCACGGGGTTATTTTATATCGAACAATGTAATATATTTGAATTACTATTTATAATTTTATACTACATCACATAAAATTGTATTTTTTTTTATAAAACAGATAAATTACTCTTTTTTTTTTTAATTGTTATACTCGTTAGGATCTAGTTTTATTAATTTACATTCATAAATATTATATAATACATTTTGCAGTGGCATTATAAGTTTAAAAATTTAAAAAAGGGCTTCATATTTATACATTTAGTAGTAATAATATTAACACATAAATAAAACTATGCTACAATCTTATCAAATTTTCAGCGAAATGAAATTGATTAAAATTTACATGACAGAAACTGTCACCGAACATAGATTTAATATAGATTACATTTGAGTCTCATATTTTTCACATTTCTTGTTTATGAATTATACTGGTAATCATTTAAAAAAGTGTATAACAACTCGAGTTAAACTGTCATAATTAATTTTAATACAAAAGAAAAACATAGTCCGTGATACAAATAAATAAAATAAATTAATAACGCCGTCTATCCCTATCTCTTCTGTCATGTTTATAGCTTCGGCTGCGACTGCGGCTACGAGAACGATGTTTGTTTGGACGGCTGCGAGATCTAGTCATATTAAGTTTGTTCAAATTTACAATAAACTACATTTAGATAAAATTTAAAACAAATATAGTTTTACCTAGATCGCCTATTATGACGGTCACTACGATCTGGGCTTCTAGATCTATTGCTTCTTTTATCATCTCTCTTGTACCGTTCTTGTTCATCAAATTTACGACGAGCTTCACGTCTTTCTTCATAGTTTTTCTAAAATATACATATATGTAAATGACGGCACATTATTTAAGTTAACTCGTATTACCTCAAGTTCTGTTAGTTTTTCTCTAATTTTTATAAATCCTAAATGTAGTTTTCCTCCAAAATGATCTGCTAATCTTCTATCATTATCGTGAATACCCAAATATGCTGAACACACATCGCATACTCTTAATTTTTGCTGCTGGTAACTGCTAACGGGCATTGAATTTCTATAAGTGTCTTCAGCTTCTGCTTTATTCTTGCGCAATTCTTCAATCTTTTAAACATAAAACAGTTATTAAACAAATATAAAAAACTAATAAAAAAAAAAGGAAATATTTACTTCTCCCATTAGCTTCAGACTTTCATCGACCAAACCTTGGGCTCCTAGTTCTTCTGCTTTAGCCAATGTTTGTCCAATTTTTTCAGCCAATTCATGCACGGCATTGGCTTTTTCTGCAACTTCAGCCGTTAATTCTTCTTGAGTTTCGAGTAACCTTTTACGAGCTGCTTCTGTCCTTCGATCACAATCGCTAATGAACGCTTGTAAATGTTCAGTAGCCTATTAACAATAATCATTATTAGTAATTTTATTTTTTCATTACTTAAGTAACATTTTTTTTTAACTTACATCAACATCATAGAAATAGTCAAATTTTTGTTGTGCTTTTTCAAAATCTGCTCTCAGCGCATTGTCATGTATTTTTGGACACTCCCCAATGTCCATGCGCTGAAATAACATTATTGTTAAACTTATGCTACACATTTAGTAAACTAAATGCATTAGAAGGAACTTTAGGAATTATTATAAGGACCATAGACAAACCTAGGGATGTGATATATATTTTAGAAAAATGTTTTATAATTATCATTGACTTACGTATGGTTATTTAACCTGAAACTTACACTTGCACATTCTAGGAAGATATATGGTTTAAATGAATTATGTTTAATTAAACATAAATAATATAATATAAATATATAATTACATTATATTAAGAAAAAACTTAAATGTATTTTAACAGATAGCTCTGCCGTTGTCTCAAAATATTTGACTTACAGACAGACGACCATTTAGTTATTTGCTCACCGACATTGACGCATTGATGGCGAGGATCTTCCCCATCTCTGTATCATTGTCTTGAAACGAATCAAAACAACAATTCGTTTGTGACTATTCCTAGAGAGGGTGACAATAATCAGGATTAAGAGTAAAACATTCGCATTCAAATAGACGTAATATACTGAATTTGATGTACGTACTGTCCTTGTTGATGACTTAGTCTCAAAAAAATGTCAGTACATCGACTTTCCAGGAGTATAATATAATAATAACTACTCACAAGATGTTTGTTGTTATCTTTGTAGACTAGCTTTTTCAAGTGTAGTTGAAAGTATACAGGGATGAGATTCATTAAGGACGATACACTCATTTTTTCTTAAACTAATTGCAATTTTGTAGTTTTTCTTTTTGGAAACTCTTTAGTTTATATTAATTTATAACATCACGTAATCAAATTGTTATCTTTTTTATTTTCTCCCAGAGCTCTATTTAATTAACTTTTTAAATTACGAATAATTTGTTTAATATTTTTATTAGTCTGTAAATATTTTTGAATAATTACTTTTAAAGCTACTTAATTTAAAAATTTAGGACCAGAGGTAAAGTGCGGTAGAATAATTATCAGATAAAAATAATACTACAATTTGTCCGTCTTCTGTCCTAAACTTTTAACTTAGAAGTAATTATTCAAAACTGGCTATCAACCAGTCAAAATTGTCCACAAATTGAATGGAGTTATGCAGAAAGCAACCAACCCACAAAAAAAAAAATCTTGATTTTAGTTTAACTAGTATAGTATACACTATACTACACTAGTTAAACTAAAATCTCAATTTTTTTTAGAGTTCTAGAAAATACTAAAGAAAACAAAAAATTAGTAACTTTATAAAATTGTGAAGTAACATAAACAAATATGTTTTTAAAATTAAATACTACAAAACTGCAAATTTTTGAAGAGACATTAAGTATTTCACCCTGTATATGACAGGGTTGTTACATAGTATTTTAGTTCCTAACTTAATCAAATTAACAACTAATTACTATGACACTTTATGTTTTGATAAACATTTAAAGAGCAAACATATAGAGCTTATACTTATTGTTATTATAAGAATGACTCTATTTATTGTTATATATTTATGAAAATATTTTCCAATACAAATAAAAAATCTACATTTATAAACTTAAACAATAATTAGTTCAAATTTACAATTAAATAAAAATCAATTGCAGGGTCTTCAATAATGGTAATATTGAATGATAAATAAAAATCCAAAAGTCAAAATAACAATTATTTGATAGGAAAAATTACTGTAACATGACATTTGGATAACCTGTACTTGGCATACTTTATAAAAAATTATAGCCACTTATTAAATTTGTTTAAATCTTTTATCACTAAATTAGATTGAAAATAAATATTAAATAATAGAATACAAATTATACTACTTTATCTAAAAATTAACACAATAATGTGAGAGATTAGCCGGTCTTGCAGTGCCGTAACAACCCTGTATAAATGTATAAATCACATATGAGAATATTGTGATTTTTTAAAAATAATTATGTATACATGTGTAAAGATTTAAAAATAATTATACAATATATTCAATCTTAAAAATACAAAAAAGTAAATAAGTGACAAAATGATAACATTTGATAAAAAAATTATGTACTCACGTTCATTTGCAGATTTTTTTTAATTTACAAGTAAAACTACTCAGTTATTTAACATTAATCAATGGTAATGGAACTTAGTAACAACATAAAAATAACATGTATTTACTTTAATTATTTGTTTGACTCTTTTAAAATGTTTTAACTTAAATAAAAAAAAATTAATTTATAAAAAAGATTCAATTTTTTTAAAATTACAAAAAAAGGGAAGTATTAGTATATATATATATATATATACTATGCAAAATGTTCAGCCTTATTTGGTCGAGGTGGGATCTAATAGACCCTATAGAAGGGTTCCCTAATAAATTTGGGATAAGGATAAGGCATGGATTCAATCAAAATGTCAAAATGCAACCATTCAAAGGGTTAATAGAAGTTTTGATTTTTACTCCGCACAAACAATTTGTAATATGATGTAGTTTTGTTTTCAATGGCAATAAATCACTGTAATTTTTCAACATAAATAAGCAACCTTTTCTAAGAATTTTTACGATGATAATTAATTGTTGACATGTTTTGAAGTAAGTCAAAATTAATCCATGTTCAAATTTACTTAGTTCAATTACCATTGGTTAATATTTAACATACATGTTTTTCTCATTAAATAAGTAATATTACAGAATAAATGATTTATACATACATACACACATAATATATACATATTATTATAATATATATATTGTGTGGTAATATTACTTATTTTTATTTGAAAAGATAAATTATTTTCAAAGTACTCACATTTTAAGATGAATCTCTGAGCATACAATAGTAGGTGTATATTAGTAGTTACTAAATGTTAAATAAGAGGAAATATAAAAATATATTTACTTTTTCTTGTTTTAGATGTGGATTTGATTTTAAAAAATACTATAAAATATATTGAATTTATTGTTTATATTTATTATTTTTTAGCTTATTTAATATATTTATTGTTAAAAAATGAAATTTTGTAAAATTAATGTAGCCTATAGATATATTGTAGCCGTAAAAATTTATATTTTTTATATTAATAACTTTTTAAAATGTATTGTCTACGTTTTTTGTTCTTAAATTAAATAACAAAATTAAAAATACTTGTTATTACACAAATTATGTAGTAGTTATGAACAAAAACCAGTACCCAAGTTCCTTTTTTGATGAAAAATACCATTATATAATTCTCTAATTATAAATAAGTCAAGTGTTAAACAAAAATTATAAAAATAATTACAAATCTTAGCATCTCAAGTTAATTTTTTTAAAATTATAGGTCAAATCTTGTGTGAATTGTTTAATTTCACATAAAGGATATTGTTTTAAAAACTGATAGGAAATAATATTGATTAAGATATTAAAAAAAAATTGTTTTAAATGTATAATTTAACATCAAAAAATCAACATCACAAGTGTACAGTCAATACTATGACAAAATTTGTATGTTATGAGCTACAAGGTACATAAACATTTTGTTTGTGCTATTATAAAGAGTATTCAAACATTTTGTGTGTGAAATATTTAACACTTAGATCTCTGAAAGTGGTTAGATACTTAAAACTGGTTATCAACCAAATTTTTTTATTGATTATTCTTCATATGAAAACGTTAGAGTTATGGAAAATACTAAAATAGTATTGTTATCCATACAAAAATGATTACCAAAAAATTAAATTATTAAATTAATAAATTTTATTTGTTAAAACATTTTATTTGTGATACTCAAATGATTTTAAACGAATTAATAAATAGATATAGCTGTAGGTAAATTCCCACGTACTTATGAAAATCTTAATGGTATAATTTAATAAGCTGAAAAAACTATGAAAGGTTTTCTGCATCATAAAATGTTTTATTAAAATGCTGTAGCTGTATTGAAAATATAAAATCATTTTTTACTTAATTGACAGTATAACAAAAAACATTATTTTATTGTTGTTTCAAAAAAATTGTATAGTGCAAAATACTTTACATTTGAATGTATATTCTGTTCCAAAAGAGAATAACCAGCGCAGAAACTAAATAGCGTTACTTCCGGCTGTGCTGGCGCAGCTGATATTAACGTGTTTTAGTTTCTGCGCTGGTTATTCTCTTTTGGAACAGAGTATAAGTATTTTTTTTATATTCTTTAACATATAGATCAGTATTTCAAGAAAAATAACACAACCAAACTTTTACACATAGATGTCATCAATGTACTCTAAAGTAAATTTAATTTTATAACTAGATATTTGACATAATTTTTTCTAACACAAATCAAATTTAGTTTGCTTGACAACAGCGAGATTAATAATAAGTTTCCTATAATTTTTTCAACATTAAAACGATAATAATTGAACTTGAATTGTTTTATTATGCATTAAAAAATTAAAGTCTACCTACTAGAAATCAAAACGTATATAATGTACGGTAAATTGAATATATTAACAACCAAACGATATATTACACTTGATGTTTTTATCAGTTAGAATATTATTTCATAACCGACTAGCCCCATAAGATATATAAAATTGAATAAATATTTACTTACTGTGGATGCAAGAATATCATGAGGGCAGCAATATAAAAGAAAACTTTTGCAGACTTTTGGATCGTTGAATTGTACTTGATATCGACTTGTTTCGCCTGCAATAAAAACAAATTATAAGTCATTGAAATCAATTAGAATCTAAGTACAATAAACCCATAATATGTAGGCATACTTACCGTTTCTGCCAGTGCCCATGAGTTGGTCTAGCATGGCTCTCATTTGGTCGTGTGCAGACATGACCGCAATAATTGATGCGTCAATTTAATAGATATTATAATAATAATTTAAAGGAAAAACTATTTCAAAAGTAATACCAAAAACTTAGACAAATGTAACGTAAACAATTTTGTATAAATCCTGTGTATCTACTCGTAATCGGAAATTGTAACGTTAACACATCTAACATCGCTCATCGCTGATCGTCATCGCATATATACAGTAGTATACACTGAAAAATATTATACAAATAATGTGTTAATAAAACACAACGTACAACACAACCAAGGTCCAGGTGAACACGGACCAAAGAGATTCTAAAAATTGAGTGGGAAAAAGTATACTCTCAAAATGTAAGGTTGAACGAAATAATATTTTAATTTTCTGGTTAAAAACTAACTAGGTTAATCGTTAAATTATACTTGAAATAGATAATTATCTGTAAGCAATAAAGTTGGCCATTCTTTTTTATAAATTTTTTTTATTATAGTTTATTCTAAAATAGCATAAATTATAATTACTAAATAATAATATAAAGTATGTAATACCCTATATTATTATGTCAAGTTTTCATATCATTCTGCTAAAAATATCCATTGAAATTTTTGGGAAGACTACTATTTTTCACATAAATCTAAGCGTCTCCCTCTTCTACAGCACATTATTATCATTACAATGCTTATATTTCTATCATTTACAGATTCACATCAAAGCGTTTAAAAAGCTATGTTAATAATTTCTACAGCCTGAGTCCCGAGACCTCCCCCGGCCCCACTGTGGTCTGTCAGTACGGGCTTTTTTTTTTAATAATTCGAGGCTTCATTACACTCTTTTATCGATTACTTTGTTATACTCGGATTAGTTATATTTACCATTCATACTCCCCAACTACAGTGATTTTTTTTATTATGGACCACTTAATATCTCACAGGGTTTAATGAGAAATTAAATTGTTTTTTTAATACAATTTTTCATAACTTTTTTTATTTTTACTCCACTTCTTACTTAGTTTTTTGACAGCAACTTTTGAATTTTGAATAGTAACGTATATATTTCATTAACTTTTTAAATTGAGAATAATGTACTAAATATTTTGACTGGTGATAACCAGTTTCGGAATACTATTTTTGAAGTTATTGAAGTTTCAAGTTTAGGGCAGGAGGAAAGGTGAAGTGTAGTATTATTTTTTATATGCTCGCATTTCCCCTCTCATCCCAACTTTTAAACTTTTATAACTTTAAAAATAGTTATCCAATACTGGTTATCAACTAGTCAACATTTTTAATACATTATTCTAAATTAAAAAAGTTAATGAAATATATGCGTTACCATTTAAGTTTCAAAAGTTTATATCAAAAAAACTAAGTTGAGAGGGGGGTAAAAAAAAAATTAAGATCACATTTTATAAAAACAAGAAAAAAAATCACCCTGTACATATTGACTCATTATAAAATGAACGATTTTATGTTAACAATTAAGTTTTATTTTTATTTTATAACTAATACAAATAAATACAAAAAATATAACAGCCAAACCTAGGTAATAGTTTATTTCCAAGTCATCATGATTTTGAAAATACAATCACCGCCAGCTTCTATGTGAAAAATAGATTAGTAAAACAGTCTTTGAGCATAGAAGTTCATATCTTTGTAATGATTATTCGTATAATTGAAGAACTTTGCTCACACTCAACCAGAGCAGACTGATAAAATCGTAGCATTTCATAAAAAAATGTCTTCTAAATATGACAAAAACATTAATATTACTAATAGAATGCGAAACGTAGTAGTAATAGAGGCAAAAATTATTAGATGATTTTGATCCTTATATCATTTTGGTGTTGCACGTTCTATCAGTTATGTCCTAAAGTTAGTTTTAACAAAGGCTAATCTACATTTTATTATATCATGATACTCAGCTTGGAAAATATCAAGTATGGAGTCAGAGATGGTTTTTTAAAAACATTTTTTGCAGCTACACAATTCCAATTTCGTAAGGGAACGGAAAGCCCAAAATTGTAGAGAAAAAAAGACTAAAACGCTAAGTTGCATTTTGAAGTGTCTACCAGACAGATTTCAAAAAAAATTTATATCGTTATATTTTATAACAAATCTTCTCTATGGGAGCTAAAAGGGCGATTTATTATTTACGTTTTCAAAATTTTATTATAAGCATTATATTTATTTATTGCTGATAAATCTAACTAATTTTTAACAGCTAAATAAAAACCCGTCATTTTAATGACCCCCCCCCCCCCCAATGAAGACAACATTAAACTTCACATAAAAATAATTTTAACTACGTTAGACACTGAATTCTATGATAGTAATTTTTTTTATCTAACTTACTTCATGATTGGGAGAAAAAAAGTGTAAATTTTGTAATTATAAAACTTAATGTTTTTTACCTTAAAAATAGTCAGGAAATTTAAAATAGCTACTAGATCAATTTTTGACAAATATTACCTATCCTTTGCCCTTTATAACTATTTAATAGGGCTTTCCGTTCTCCTTTATTTACAAAAAACACTCAAATCATGACACATTTCTAGAATTTATCAAAGTACTTAATACACCAAATATTAACTTATGTCTTAACCATTTAATCATTATTTTATTTGTCTAGCTTTTCTCATTAGATTGTGTTTACAAAATAGATAAACAATACAAATTCACTAAAAAATAATAATTTAAAAACATAAGTCAGTTAAAAAATATATCATAATAAAAAATGTATCATTGATCTATTTAATGATGATTTATTATTAAATAATAATAACTAAGTAAATAAGTAAATTATAAAAAATTCAAAGTCTATTGATATTTTATTACTATATGCTAAATAAAATCATCAATCTTGATTCTTTCGTTGATGAAATTGTAATGAATATTTTTAATAGTTACTAGTTAAAACAAAAAACCACTTATATAGGCTACAATTATTAATTTATAATGATGTACATTTCAGTTTAAACTAGTTGTTTAAAATAGGATGTAATTATTTTTGTTATGGTAAAAGCAAATTAGGTAGTATCTTCAGAAAAATTTTGACTTAAGACATGTACTCCACAACTGAAGAACCCACACCTAAAAAATGTAATAAGTTAGTTATTTGCAAAAATAAATGTTTATTATATTATATTGATATATACCTTATGATCGGGAACGACTTGGAGATTTAGAATGACCTCTTGAACTTCTACTACCAGAGCGTGAACGAGACCTAGACCTAGAATATGAACGTGATCGACGTCCACGTGACCTAGATCTGGAGTACGAACGACGGCGAGGTGAACGAGACCTAGATCAAAATGTCAATGTTACTTATATAATAAAATGATCGTTAATAAAAATTACATTTATAGTGAAACTATAAACAGTATACAGTATTAATAATTTGTTGTGCATTTAATTTCAACATATTTTATTATTACGAAAAGTAAATGATTGATAATTTAATTAATGAGATCCATAAAGTCTGGGAATTTGACCAAGAATTAATTTTAACTTCATAAGCGCGAAGAAAAAAGTGATCGTATAGGTGAATTAAATAATGTTTCCTAACCCTAATCGCAGTTGCCAGGACTCAGGATTGCTAGTTTTATTTCAACAAAAAATAAAAAATAATTTAATTCAGCAAACTGAAATCTGCAACTGGCACTCGGCTGAACAGCAGCTAGTCAGCACTCAGCACGCATCTGCTATTGGCAGGAACAACGCCCTCGCCTTCTGCTGCGATCAGCCCGATAAATACACCTTAGCACAGCCTCAGCCACAGCACTCAGCCGACACCCCAATTACACCCCAAACCTGAAAATAGTCGCTGCTATCAATGGGTTTTCAACAAGTCTCACGTTCTTTTACAAAGTTTTGTAAAATGATAAAACATTAAAAGACATTATGTAAATGATTAAAGCACAATAATTTATAATAATATATAAATACATAATATTATCTAAATAAATCAAATAATAATTAAAATATATTGACAGCATAAGACAATATAACGAGATTATAATATGTTATACAAAGGATAAGAACAATTTATTGGGACTATAATATAAAAATGTTTTATTCTTTATGAGTTTATGTCTAGTTAAACATTAACAACTTTTTTTTTTATATCAGGCACATACTTAAGTTGGTTTTAGGGAGGGCAATTATATAAATAGCACAATGAAACACACACATTTTTTTCATTTATACTTATATTCAAAAAAAGGGTTTTACCTTTTTTTTTTAAAAACTACTCCCTCTAAATTATATCCACAGTATATATTTTACTTTGACAATACAAATCATCAAAACTAAATATAAGGTAAATCAGTAAATTTTTTAACCTATCTTTTTTTATAACTGATAAATTAGATATTTTTACTAAAAAAAGGTACTCTTAATTAGTAAATTTAAAGTAGTTAAATATGATGCAATTAATTTAAAAGTTTTTAAATTGAAAGGATATGATCAAGGAATAATTAAAAAATATAAAATCAGTCCTAACATAAAAACAAAGTTATTGAAAAATTTACAGATACATAATTCATTAAACAATGGTTAAAACAAAAAATAAAGTTAAAAATATACCTTCTACGACGCCTCCTATATGGTGATGTCGGGCGCCCGTAGCGAGCCATTTGAACACGCAATTCCCTGCCATCTAACATACGGCCGTCCATAGCATCCAATGCATCTTCAGCATCACGTTTGTCGTAAAATCTAGTATTAATTATTTGAATTAAATATAAGTTATATGTTGTTAAGGCTCGTCCAACTGCACCATTTTGGAAATTCACTTAATGAAAATTTAACAGCCACATGTTAGTGTTACAATTTGGGGTTCATTTCCATGGCATGGACGAGCCTATAAGTTATGACAATGTATTATAATTATTCTTTTTGCAAATCAGATAAGATCAAAGTTAAAAATCACAGCCTTCCATCTCGAAGAGGAGCTTCAACTCGGTAACAAGGAAACTCGACCCTCCGGACGAAATATATTTGTATCTTAGCTCAAAGTCAAATTTTTAATCATTTTTGCAAAAGAACGTACAATATTCAGAAAAAAGGTAATATGATATAAGAACGTATTTAAGTATACCTGACGAAAGCAAAACCTCTACTTTCTCGCGTGAATCGATCCCGCGGAATGTATATATCACCGACTTCTCCGCATCTTTCAAACACTCTCCTTAAATCTTCTGGCGTTGTTCTGTATGTTAAATTGTCGACTTTTAGGGAGACCATGCCCTCAATTCTTGGCGGTGGTCTACTGTAGCTCATTGTGAATAATTTACTTACACACCGACTCGATACACGAAAAAAAAAAACGGTACGCCAAAACTTACTGCATAGTGTGTGAATTAAACTACGCCTAATCTGTGACACTTGAAGACGTCACGCCTGACAATTTTACACAACACATCAACAAAAGTCAACTAGTAAAATGGCGACCGTAATGTTTATGAATTGTACCGTATTGTAATTCGTGTAGCAGTACACAAACATACAATTCGTGTTAATTCTAAGCGTCATTTCGTACAGTGTTACCATCATAATCCGAAATTTTAAAAACATTTCCCTTCCACAATCAACATACTACTAAAAACATTTTTCCCGGCATATTTTAAGGCGTTGAAGTTTAAATAGCAAATTTTAAACATAAAAATGATTTATACTGACGACACTGACTTATGTATGTAGTTAACCCTTTCAGTCCCAGAATTATTTCTTTTTGGAAAAAAATGTTTTGTGCCCAAATATTGTTTAGTCTGTATTAAAATAAGACAAAAATAAAGTTTGAAGAAATTTCAATCATTTTTGAAGAACTTACAAACTTTTTAAAGTTGCCTACTTGAATAAGTACAATGGGACTCGTCGGTATCGGAACATCTATTTATTATATACCTCCAAAGGTATATAAATTATAATGAATATATAAATATTAATAAATAAATATAATATAATATATACATTTTTACTTATTTTTGACGTTACTGGTAACTATTGTTAGTGCAGAAAGGTTATTTTCAAAACTTGAGTTAATAAAAAATTATCTTAGAAGTAGGTATTATGTTTCAAACACGTCTCGGCGGTAGTCTTGCAATGATTTCAATAGAGAATGAAATTTAATTTACCATTGTTGGTAATTGGTAAAGTTGTTTACTCAATCTCAAAACAGAAAAAAAAAAATTTTAATAACTGTAACTGTAACTCAATAAATTATTAATATAATATTATGCCTATTTATATAATATTTTTTTATGTATCTACCCAAATTATCAAACACAGGGTTAATAATAAGTTAAGTTTCGATAAAGGGCCTCCCAAGTCCTAGGAAATTGTATCCGCGGGTTTCAAGAAATGTAGTTCCGCCACTGCGTTCAACATTGGGTAATCAAACCAAAATTACATTTAAATTTTGTTTCACATCAAAATGCGTTTGTACTAATGCTAGTTCTATGTGTGAGCTGTATCACAACGGTTCCGTATTTCGCTTAATGTAAAAACTAAAAACGAATTATGTTTATTAGTAATGGAGTTAATTATATTACAGATACTAAGTACCTGTTAGTTTTCCTACGAAAACATAAGATAACAATATTTTACGGATAAATTGCCAAATGAAAACTCCTTATTATGCGTGCCGAAGTACGTTTATGAGTTCCGTCAGTACTTGTCAAAATTTGTTAGAGCTACAGTTTTTTTTGTTTTTTTAAGTCAGACCGTGCCAAAAACTATTTTGGATCGTAAGAGTATAGGTGCAACAACGTAAAATTTAAAATTAGTTTCACACCCAGTCATAAAGCCCTGATAGTGGCTATTTATTGAGGCGTAAAATATACGCAATATAGTGGTTTGATTATTAATTTCGACCATAACAATTTATTTTCAGGTGAGCTCGTATAAGCTTGAGGGTGTTATTTTTGACGTCTAGTGTCTATACATTCTTTAATTCAGGACTTTGATTTATGATTAAATTTTTTAAAAAACAATCCAGTTCAGTGGCTTTAGAAGCTTGGGGTTTGTAGCACATTAGGACGAGGAGGTCAAACAATTTCTAGTTGTACCCTTAAAAAAACCATTAGTGAAATATTATATAACAATTTTAAAACATCGCAGCTAAAACGGTACTTAGTTAACAAAAAATTGTATACATATTTTTTAAAACTAAGTATAAGTTTAAGCGTTTTAAGATCGTGCGTAATATAATAGTAATATGCTATTATGATAGTTGTACCTGATTTTAACCAGTCCAGAATAGTTAATATTATAGTTATATTATTTTATTTTCAATTAGTATTATATTATTTACTCATTATTTTTAATTGTTGTTTGTATATATTCTTGTTAATTTGATTGAGCGTAGATATGTGTTTTGTTAATTGATAAACAACTATCTACAACAATTGAATAGGTATTGTTTATGTGAACTGTTTTGATAAAGTTCATAATTAAATATTTTGAAAAATGTTAGTCAAATTGTTTTCCAATAGGTACTATTTAATATTATAACAACATGTTATTAATAATAATTAGTTAGTATTTTAATTAATATAATTTTGTATCATCCAAAGGGAGTACATATATTATAATGTATTAAAAAACGATTATAAAGGTTAATCATGCCTTGTAGGCGAATTGACAAAAGCATTGTTGTATGTATTTACCGAACGTGCTTTTCACCCTCGTATATTATTTCCCCCTGTTTCCCTTGAGCTGTATTTAAAAACTATAAAGGTATACCTACAAAGATTAGGATTAGATGTTCTGGTAATATCACGGTATCAAAAGGAGGGACACAAATAGTTGTGTATAGGTATTATAAAAGGAGATAATGTAATATGGAGTTGTCAGAGAGATTCTTAAGATTTTTATTTAGACCCCAAACCCCAAGGATATAAAATGTCGTATAATACCTACTACAATATATTATTATGCACCCTATTAGTATACACCATACTAGTAAGTTTTCAAATGACACAAAAAACGTGTTATTACCCTCGTATTAACGCAGTAATTGAACCGAATAAAACTGTTGAAAATATATTATTACAAAAGTTATGTAGACAAGTCTTTGATATACTTTAGCAGTCCACTGTCCGCCCTTAAATAAAATTACCTAACTACTACTTATAGTAACAAGTATAATTTATAAGTGTGGCAGTAAAGTGTCGCAGGTTCAGATAAGCAATTTAACAAGAAATTTACGCCATAATTGTATGCATACATTTATCGTGATACTTACATTGCTTATACGTTAGGTTATAAGTCTCTGATGAGTAGTTATAATTATTATTGGTTTTATAATATTATAAAATCAATGGTATGATGTAATATTTGTTTTATAATTTTGACTTATTATAAACTCAAATTTTTAACAAATTACACTTATAATAAAATACATTAATGTTATTTTAATTGAAAGTAGTAATTCTATTAAGATTTTTTGAATTTTGACGGACGATCGATACATCAACGTAGAAGGTACAAGTTATAAGCAGTAAACTTAATTCTGAACTAACTGAAATGACTTTTAATATCAGTGAAACAAACATGATCTAGTTCCTACAATAGATCTAATTAGTAATTTGTAAAGCAATAAACAAAATGTAAAACAGTGTCTTGTTGTTTTCTTTATATTATATAGGCTAGAAAACGTGTGTATGAGTGTGTTTATCAACAGATGTGCTGCTGTTGTTATGGATTTCATCACGACCGTCGCCTAGGTACCACCGATCAACAAGATATATTTTATCGTTATTGCCGTCAAACGTTGATGTACTCTATGACCAAACACAATCAGTTGACGGTTGCTCCACAACTGTCCTGCATATTTATCGAGGCACGACTATTTTTTTAAAAGTATTTACTTTAGACTTTTCATTGGTTTCTATACTCAATCCGTTGCTATCTATGGACCCAGTAGTCGTCCTAGGGTGGAAGCCGCACGACTGTGGATAGTGGATATCAATAATACGGTTATAGTTCCATAATATGGTGTATTGAATTGTACCCCGGACGTTTAATGTAATATTCTTATTTCTTAAACGGTTATTCGTGTAATAACGAATAGTTAACATATTGGTTTTTTTGTTCTATACCTTATGCGTAAATAGAATATTATCAAATTTTCCTAATCCTATAGGTATATTTTTCCGACGGCTGACTTTATTGTTGTACCTATACCGCGTACGCGGCATGCACTAGTTACAAAATGAAATGCGCATACATACATATTGTTATATTAATACATAACTACGGATATGCCAGTATCATATTATAGGCTATAATCTAGAAAGAAACCGAAACCAAGACAAAAATATATTATACGGACATACAGTTAGTAATAATAAAAAAAACGCATTATTGTGCAGCCAAATTCGCATTTTATATACATATATTATTATTATTATATTATATTGGATCCTAATAATTCCCATATGATTACATTTCTTATAATATGTATATTATTATGTATTTACCTAGGTACTTTGTGCCGTCGCGTCGCTTCTGTGCGTGTGTACATGCGTGTACGGCCACCGGGCTTGGGACCACCCATCTGAACCGTTTAAAGCCGACAGAACACATGTTGTATAAATAAGTTAATCCGCGGTGCGCATTGTTTGGCCTTTTGTGTAACCGATATACACACACACGGCGCGCTTTATTGTTTGCGGCGGCAACGGGCCGGTTTCATCCAATGATCCGGTGTGACCGCTCCAGTGTGAAATTGGAGTTTGGATTTGCGTCCCGGTGGCCTCGGTTCGCCTGTGAATAAAATATATAATATTATCTGTACCTATAAGCGTTTTCGACGTATTATATAGGCCCCGCCTAGCGCACAAAAGCCATTGTCGACCGATATATTATATTATACCTATATAATGTTATAACAGTGCGATGTACACGCAGCCCCGGCGGCGGCCTATGTGGGATTTTTATCGTTATATACACCACTATATTATTATTATTATCATCGTTATCCTCATATCAATAATAGTATGTTTATTTGGAGTCGGTTGAGTCGATGACCCGGACGGTTTTTTTTCAAACAATTAGCCCCGGATCGATGGAGGTGAAGACGGCGTTGCCACTCGATTGGACGCGCGTAGCCGCATAATCTACATCGATTCATAATTTTTTTTTCTCTTCATCCTATCCCTTTGATTCTTACTTGTTCGATATACCTTGTATTTAATTCTTTTACAGAATCTTCAGACAAATCGGCGTCTTTGAGGTTCCCAACGCGCGGCGTGTACCTATGTACGGGGTTTCAACAATTATTGTATTATACAAATATATTATAGTAATCTACTTCGCCACAAATTTTCTTCTCCCTCTGGGTTATAAATGTATCTACAAAATACATATTCGTCATAATTTTTTCAAAATAATATATAAGTAAACACATCGGAATGCTGTCGTGCGTGTAAGGTACCGTAGAATTAAGAATATCCCATACTTACCTTCAGTTTTCTCATGGCCGCTCTAGCCAGTTTAGCTAAAACTTAATAGTATATTTAGAAAACTATAATAATTATAGGCTAAACTGAAGAGTACAGGGAAAAACATATTCAGCCCCATTTTTGTCGTTTTTAGTTGATAGACTCGTCGTGTTTTTTTCCTGATTCAATAATTATTATTGTAATATTTTCATCATTTACTTACCTATACTATTTGTAACTTTAAAAAACATTAGGACACTGCAATTAAAAATAATATAAATCTTCGTAGATTTACATTTACACTTTTAATGCTTTTGATAAGAGTAGGTACTAAGGTACCTACGATTTCTAAAAAAAAAAGTTAAATATTAAATACATTCAATAAATTAAGTTAAATGTCTTTTTGTGCGATATCCCTTTGAGTTTTTTCAATAAAACCCACTACTTAATGCATCGTCGAAAATAATCAAAATCCCTGTAGTCGTTTTTTTAATGTTTTTTAAGTATAATAATTAATAGTTGAATTAAATAAAATAATTATAGTAACTATTTTTTCCTGTATTCTTCGCCTACACTATAATATTAAGCCATAGGTACTGATGAAAATGACCAACAATGGTACTTATACATTTAGCTTTCCCGTACTAACCATAAAGTCCTACCCTAAGGAAACCACTATTATTGCCGCTGTCAACAACTAACCCTCTGGGCTCTGATAAATTATGCCGCCCTACGGCACATGCGGAATACCCCATTTGTTTACCCCCCCCCCCCCCCTTAATCCTTAGGATGCTCCTGATAGTTATGGCTCGTGGAAAATATTGAAAAGGTACGAAGGATATAGATCAATTTCTAATATGTTTGCGTCGATAATATACTATTATTAGTAAGAATTAAAATATTTTTGAAGATCAGTTGAATAGTAACTGTAGGTAATCAAATTGAGTATAGTTCAAATCCGTCTTACAAGAAGCAAGATATATAAGTGACAAAATCGTAATTATTTTAAAAGTTCTCATCCATTTAAAAACATAAAAAAGTTAAAATTGCCATTTTTCAAAACATGACTGATTCCTAATTTTTTTTTTTAATGTTATTTAAATAAGTAGAGTTTTAACTACTCGAATAATATTTTAAAGAAAATAATTACAGTTATATGAGAGCGTGTAGTACTTATATACGCATAGTAGAATGGGATTAATGGGAAATTATGTAGTAACCACTGGCTTTTGATAAAGATTTTAGTTTTGCTTTTTCATTAAGAATCTAGATGTGGGAACCCTCCTTTAGAGTACAAAGGCAAACTATAAACTTCATAAAAACGTAATGTCTATTGTAAGGTAATTATAATTACTTGCACTACGTAACGAAATATATATTTCAACACTATCAATTGTATATGATTACAATAATAATTAATAAACATACTTTATTAAAATAGAAGTGAAATGAGTTTCCTTTTTCTAAGAAAAAGATGATCGAATAGAAATAAATGACAGACAAGTAATTAGTAAGGATTGTTTTGTAAATTAACAGAGTTCCAGAAAAGTATTTCTCATTTTAATTATTGTTTAATTAAATCGGCATTTAACTGAATGTATTTATAAATTAATTTTGAAAATAACGAGTCTTTGAAATCTTTAATAATTATTAAGAAATTACTCTTTTAGGGCATATATTTGTAGTCTTAGATGAGTACAGTCTTGATGTAAGTTACCTGGAGAATAATCAAAGCTAGATTATTTCATGACCGAGTAGTTTATATGGCCCAAATTACCTTATTTTAGGTAAACTGCGCCCAGACTATAATTTGGTTTAAAAATGGTATATGTAAACTGCGCCCGAGTTTTTATCAAGTGGAAAAAGGTTACATGTAAACTGCGCCCAGTTTCTTATCATCGGTATGAAATGCAAAAAGCGCCCGAATCAATAAAATCACAGATATATTAATATTTTAGGGTTGCTACCACTTTTACCAAATTGCATAAATTACCAATGTCCATGCTGTTTGGCCTCAGATAAAGATACACGGATGTCGCTTTCATCTAACACAATCGTGGAATAGAAATATCCAGCAAAATGGCTTGAGTATTGACTATAAAAATAAGAACAGTGATATTAGAAGTAGTTCATGCTACGGTATACCATTTTTAAGCCCAGAAAGTTTATCTGAGTATTTTGTAAATTATTTAATGAAATCTAAGCCCGACGATGAAAGAGTGACACGATTTGCGGATTATTTGGTAGATGTATGTATGTATAAGTGAAGAGCTCAGTATCCACCTGAAATATGGGCTCAAGCATCAGCAGAGCCAACTTCAACCACAAATGCATGCGAGTCGTTCCATTCCCACTTTAATTCTAGCTTATATACATCCAAATATTTTTATGCTTATAGAAAGGTTTAAAAAAATTCAAACAGAAACATATATTAAATTAAATAATTTAAATGACACTTATAAATTTCAAAGTTCTAAAACAAAACGAGAACATGAAAAATTACAAAGTTTTCATTGCAGTTTACATGCAATGTAAACTTTTTCCATTTGATAAGAACTCGGGCGCAGTTTACATATATTAATACTAAGGATAATTTTTACATAGATAAATATTATGTAGGTATAAATTGTACAACATTGTTCGCAGAAATATTATGTTTATATTTTATAGTAATTAACAATATTATTGTGCGTATTATATATATTTAACAATATGATCAAATTGTGAGAAAATATATAATATATTGTTATATTTTTATTATAACAAAGTTGTTCGAACAGTATAATAAGTAGATTATAAACTACACGTCATGAGCATTAGCAATTATTTATAATTATTTGTAATGTTTGATTTGGAGCCAACGGATGAGATATACCTACCTTGGCAACTAAATAAATGAGTACATTTTACTGTCCACTTTTAATATAACCGTTACTACTTACCAAGAGAACCGTAATTATAACTGTGGTTGATCCTAACGTAGATTATGTTTTTTAATGTCCTAATATAAAGGATTAGGAAGAGAATATGATGTGTTTCCCCAAGGAAAAATCAGCAAAACATTAGTTAATAGTTACTACACATGTGAAATGAGTAATAAGTAATAAGTAATAACACACACAGTAGTACAAAGGCCAACACCTAGGTTGCAAAAGTATAACTAATATTATGTCAAAATAATAGTGAAAACATACAAATTTAAAGACATTTGTTTTCAAACGTAAAATCACTTTTTTGGGCTGTATGAGTAGTTCCGTCCGGAGTTAGTCAGTACGACTCAGCCTAGCACATTTTTGAAAATAATAAAACAACAAAAATCCCTTACTAAGTTTAACTCAATAAAAATTCGTAAGAATAACAAGGAAATAAGGAAATAATTAATTGGAAGTTAACGTGGGTAGAACGGGAACAAATCAGGTTGAATAAACAAAATCATGTTATTACAATTATTAAAGTTATTTTCAAGCCGTTATATTTAACTAAAACAATATGAAACAAAAATAATTACATTAAAACCTACGTACACACAATTTTGTATTTTTCGTTATTTTATTTTAAATACAAAATTACCATTAAGCTCTAATGACTAGAATGTTTAACATATTTGAAACACAAAACATATCATTACAAATAAACATTAACAACATAATATTGTTATTGAAGTTTTGATTATTTAATTGCATTTTCTCTCTACATTTTAGGTGTTTTCGGTAATTCGAATATATTATGTAGATATATTAAGCATAATAATAATAACATGAATTTTATAAATAAAAGCAAGATAAAGTATAATGTTTAATACATTTTTCACGCAAAGAGTATTCAGTAATAAACATCATATATATTTACAACAATACGTATACATTTATACACGTATATATATATATTTACAAATTATCTTTAATATTCATAGTAAACAAATATCTTATCTTAAAGGATAATTGTTAAAAGTCAAGTAGCAACTAACATATTATAATTACCTAAAATACCTATCAAAACCAAATGATGTAATTAACTATAATTACTGGTTGATAAGCCAGTTTTAAATAAATACTTTTTTTACCATTTCAAGTAAGGCGAAGAAGGAAGTGCGGATGAGTGGTGTGTGTGTGCATATAAAATATATTATTGCAGTCTACTTCACCCGGGTCTATACCTTTAAATGATAATAGTTTAAAAATAATTTATCCAAAACTAATTTGTCGACCAGTCATTAGTACTTCATTCCGCTTTTCATAGTTAAATCTGTCATCCCTTAAAATTAATATTTTGAAACTGAATATTAAATATAAATTTAGACCATTAAATATTATAAGGATTTTTTTAGAAACTTGTTTAGCTAAAACAATTATTTTATAGAAAAATTTACTGTACCATTAAATTTCAATAGCCCTACTTATTTTTCAGCTACCTATTTTTACCTATTAAATTCAGAGTGTCAGACTACTTAACGTTTTACTGAAGTAATAGATTTAAAAACAACATTGATAAACGTTTTAAAGTTGGCTTGGCAACTACTTGTATGTATATTTTTTAACTATTTTACTTAGTAACGTTTGATTTTAATGAAACAAATACAGCGAGTGCGGCAGAGAGGTATGACGTTTTTCAAAAATCAATGTCACTTTTAAATTTTTTCATAGATCAATTAAATAATACTATTTTGTTATCACATAAAAACAATTGGCTTAAGAGGCAAAAAGCGATGGCCCTTTTGATCAATAAGGTCCTCCTTTTGCAAGCACTCACAATTTTACAAGGGGCCTCATTTCACTGCGAGGGGACGTCGAGTGGCCCCTACTATCGTCAGATCTGTTTCCCTGAGATTACTTCATATGGCGGAAAGCTTTTATTTTGTGGTTCTCGAATCAAATTTATTTATGTTATGACAAAATGGCATTATCTCTCTGCCAGACCTGTACGCCGTTGTTTTAACTATAAATAAAAACAAATGTTTAAAACTACAATAGTATTTATATTACCTACTGGAAACACTTCGACGTTATCAACTATCTTATTTTACAAAAAAAAAAATCCATATTAAGCCACTTCTAGGTCTGAAGAATCGGGATCTTCGTCGAGTTCTTCCTCTTCTACGTGATGGTGTATCATACGCATGTGTTCTCCACTCCTGGCCGCCGCCGCTGCTGCCACTGCGACAGCCAACCCGTTGGACACTCCAGGCTGGTCGACCAGATGATGTTGCATTTTTCTTAATCTATCTTGTTCTTCGCGTCTCTGTTTTCGCCACTTGGCCCGACGGTTTTTAAACCAAACCTGTAAAAAAAAAAAAAAAAAAAAACAATCAATGCGAGACAATATAAATAAAGGCTAGTGCTTAAGATTTTCGGCCACGATAATAACGCATGTACGTAACCCGTTCGTGCAATGCGTTTAATGATTGATTAAATCGAAATTTTACCAAACCGACCAAATACCTGCACAGTGCACGTAAGCGTGCACTATTCGTCGGTGTAGGTAGTATAATATAATATATTATAGACAACATAGTAATATAATATAATAATTGTGCACGTATGCGGATAAACGCGCGCGAGAAAAGCGACACAGTTATAAATTGCATTATTATTATTATTACGAATATCGAATGGTAATATAATATCGTACACCCAGGAGAGTATACATCAGTCAAATAAAGTCTTTGTTCCAATTATTTCGGTTCCGTAAACATACACCAACGTTTTCACGGATCAGTTGACGTATGGCGGAAAATACTGAAGCGCATAGACTACATAATATATAGATATAATGTTATACTGAAACGTTTGACAAAGCGCGATTTTCGCATATTACATTGTACATATATATACAGGTATAAATACAATATGAATATGAATATGTATTTCATTGTTCTTTTTTTATATATTTCGCTCTCTCTCTTTTTTTTTTTTTAAATATTTATATTATTATTGTAGTGACAAAGTACTCTGGGCAGGGATATAGTTCATTTAAAACATGTTTAATGCTATTCTATAATTACTATCTAATCAGTAACATATATGTATGTTCGAAGAACACTAGCTAAGGCTCGATGGTTAACCCAATTAAACACTTACTTATAAATGTATTTTACGGTCTACAAAAACGAAAGACATGGAGTTTATAATTATCCATATTTGTGCATAGTTAGCGATTTTTAATTTTAAAGTTTAATTACATAAAGTAGAGAAAACCGATTGTATAATATTTTTAAATTAAATATATTCTCATAAAAAAGACATTTTTTTTGACAACTTAAAAAATTGTAGACCTATTTTTGGATTTTTTTACTAGAATTTTATTTTTGTAAAAGTGTAATTTTAAGATTTTGATGCCTATATTAAATACACAAATATTAGTCTATTTGTTTAACGAATGAATTTATGCATATTCAGGTATTTTAATACACAAAAATTCGACCCCTATATTTTAATAATATTATTAATAGGTATAATATAATTTTATATAATATTATTTTGGTACGTTAAAAAAAAATACGTATACTTTTAAATATCGTTGACTTTTAAAATAATCCCACCATAAATGTCGGAAAGTCTGGAATAGAGATTATAAATATTATTATTTTATCATTATTAAAATAAAAATAAATCACGATTTGCGGTTATTGTAGTCGTGTATATACATATACAAATATACATAATATACTGTATTGGTGCTTGGTATATATATTCAAATCGTTAAACTCGGACTTTTCTGTATTGATATACCAAATGTCTGCACTTCCCACGTCGGGATTTAACTGTAATGGCGGCAGGGCGCGAGGCCCTGAGGGAGCTTATTGAATTTCCCGCGTTACAGTTGGATAGCCTTACAATAATAATAATAATCATAAAAAAATCCGCAGCCATATTCTTATACATACAATATACATTTAGTAGTATTATAAAATAATAATGTTTTGCGAAAAAATAACACACCGTTTCATTTCTATTCAAAATGTTTTTATACTCGGCTGCGTCTATCCGAGGGAAAAAAAGGATTCCATACAAAATTGACGTATTGTTTTTGCATAATTCCTTCGGCCTCGCGGTTAACAGGATTCGTTATATTTATACAGAGTTACGGTTTTTTTCTGGTTTTGTATTTTTAAAAATTTCATTCCGCTCTTCTTAACCAACACACGTAGGTATAACGCATAATACGTACCTAAGTATAAATCTTAAGTCACAGGTGAAGTATACAAAATAAAAACGTTTCAAAATAGTGCTCACAGCCATTGGCTCAAAACTTTTTAAATGCCGAATGCCTACATAACATTACAGACAGGTTCAGCGCATCATCATGGTATTGTTCTTATAGAATAGGATTGTTTGAACAAAATATATTGTGCTATTTATTTACATATTTCCATATTGTTAGGAGTATAAAATATTTACTTAAAACAACAAATAATTTTTTTTTGGTCAGGTTGACGTATTGTAGTTGGGTAACTTTTATTTTATATTATATGCGATTTTTTATTTACTTGTCAAGGTGAATAATAAATATAGTTAAAATAAAACTTTCGTTAACAATTACATAATTTGGTTAAATCCAGTGGTGTATTGTTAAATAAATTCGTAGGTGTACGCCCTTTTAAGACTATAATTACCACAAATAATTGTCTCGCTCCGCTCGAATTTCAGATAAATGCGTTTAATTTTGCTCACTCTACTCAAATTCAAAATTAACATTTCCTCCAATATACTAAAAAATGTTCTCTTTCGTTTATAACTTTGTAAGTATTTTATACAGCACACTCACGTATAAGTGAACGTATATGTATTTAAAATTTATCTAATATCCTAACGCAGTATTTTTTTTTTTTTTTTATAAAAAAGGAAATTTTAATTTTTTTATTTAAATTATCTAACAATTGTTGTTTGTTTCGTATACGAAGTTGTGCTAACTTTCAAGTTGATGAATAGGTACAGTTAATTTAATCACTTAAGGAAATAATATATTTATTTGTAAATACAAATACGAAAACGATCGCAACAATTGGATTTAATTTCTATAATAATAATAATAATAGTGTATCGCATCGATATTTGTCCCAAAACGATGTATGAATTAATATATACATATATATAAAAAAGAGGACTATTGTTATTTTTATGGGTTTATGAATTGTGTGAGCGCAAGAGCTAATAATAATAAAAAGCTTTTGACACAATTAGAGGTTTTTCATTTATAAGGGTTCGAAGATCAACAAAAACACAGAGTGCCCTAAGTTGGTTAATCATCGACGGAGAAACTGTACAAACGCCGTTTCCCATTAATTCGTCTTGTAAACACGCGAATATTGTTACGGAAATAGAGAAAACGAAACCATATCATGCAATTTAATTAAAATAAATCCAGAAGGTTGGAGCGGTTCATTGTTACCCTAAAGCCACTCGACCGAACCCAATCAAAACACTCCGGCATAATATAGTCCCCTAAAACGAGAAGGAAATAGAAAGAGATCACTTAACCCCCGCGACATCTACATTATGTTCCCATCAATTACACCCCGGACGTGGCAATTGTATGCGTTATTAAACGACCGTTTAACGAGCCTGATGGAAAATAGAAAACTTAAAGCCCATTTGCCAAAAGTTACTATAAAAAGTCTGTACACTCGACGATCATTACCTCGACTCGTTCTTCTTTCAAGTCCACTTTGAGTGCTAGCTGTTCTCTGAGCACAACGTCGGGATAGTGAGTCTTCTCGAACGTGGCTTCCAATTGTTCCAGTTGTTCTTCCGTGAAAATGGTCCGGTGTCTCCTTTTCCTCTTTGCCGGCGGGCCCGCAAACATGGACGCCGCCGAACCGTGATGCGGTCCGCCGTTGGCACCGTGGTTGCCGGTTACCGCCATGGCCATCATATAGCTCGGGTAAATGCTCTGGTAACCGGCAGCGGCTGCTGAAACAAAAATATTATTCGATTTAAATTTAAAAGCTTTTTTTAAAAGGGGGGAGGGGAGATTAAAATTTCCGATAGAAAACTTTTGCAAAAGTTATGTCGGAATATAATCGTTTTCTAAAACGTAAGTCGAGTATGTGTTTTCGAAAATACACGTATGTAAATACAATCGAACACGAGAGGGTTGCACGCACGTTATACGTATTATGCATAAATGCACTGTACCGCGCCCAAGGCACCGTTGATCTGATTTGAACCGCTAACATGGGAACAATGCAAACACGTACGTCCGTTGCGCATTATTTATTCATGGTTGATTAAAGTTCGATCCCCGCGTAGTGGCTTTGCACACAGCCAATCCGGGCAATACTAAACAAAGGTCTTATGCGATTTGTTAGATTCGCGTTTGTTTTTCTAGTTTCTAATTTAATGTGCATTTACCGTATAAACGTGCGCATATTATGGATGGCTAGAAGCCCCGAACAGGCGAGTACAAAAAACATATTATGATTGGTCTGAAAACCGCAACTATGTGTCTAAAATTGCAAAAATACAACGAAATTTGAATATTCTTTTGTTGTCAAATCCGAATCATGCCTCGGGTATTCGAAATTATGCGTTTCGCCGTTTACATAATAACGGAATAACATTTAATCAATTATCAATATTATTCTGTTAAACAAAAAAAATACTAGTTTTCAAATTAACCATCACACGCATGTAAATATATATTTTTTAGATAAAAATATTTTTAGTTTTATTAATTTAATAAATTGAATCATTCATATACTATACTATTGAAGAAACAAAAATAATCAAAGTAAACGTACACGTACATAATATAGTCTTTTACTATAGGTAACCGTTTTTGCGATATTAGGCACATGCGCCTACTTATAATATCTACATAATATATGATATATAGCAAACAAAATATAATAATACAAAAAAAAAAAATATACCGTGTAAGTTTGTGTATGTGAAAAACGATTATTGTATCGATGCGTTTTAACGTATGTACTCTGTGGTGTATGTGTATATCCCCCAGACTACAAAACGCCCTTTATGCCCGATCAGGTGTAATTTCGCCATATTTATTATACTTGAAAAATGTCATATTTTATTGAATGGCACGCACAAAAGCGTTGGCACGACCGCCCGGCTTTACACGGTCCACAGGATCTTTTTGAATGCACGCGAGGCAATTATTTGCGAAGCCTTTGCATATCGCCAACTGATTTAAAACATATTATTATGTTGTGCCCACAACACGGCAACAAACTCCCTCTAACCGATCGCCGTTAAAGGGAGAATACAACCACAATGCGGTCCGCCACCCGTGTGTAAATAAAACTTATTTTAAAAAGTACACACATATCAATATTGTACGACATATTTTATACACAGACACGACCAATGCCGATAATAATATGTGTAAATTTGAAATATTATACCTACATAATATAGTAAATATTATTTTATTACTACATAAAATCATCGCGCGATTTCACCCAATTTTATTCGTATTGAGCGAAATGGTGGATAACAAAATCGGTTTGTACCTCATTAGAAATACAATGTAACTGGAAAACATAAAATGTATTTTTTATGTACAGATATATCTGTTGAATATAGGATAATGGTATAGTTAAATAATTTAAATCCACGCTCAAATCGCAATACGCATTATTTATAATCATAATAATAATAATGTGTGTACCTATACGATTCTTAATCGGTGTAGAGTTTAATTCGATTTTTAAAAATCACGAATTTTTATCTCAGTCACGGGTGCTATTTCACTAATAAAATAGACTATTTAAAGAAATAAAGTAATGAGATGAGAATCAAATAGGCCACGAGCGATTTTGATCAAATTTAACAAGAAATCCAAGTTAAAATTATGTAATTTATGTTTTCTTACAAGCTACTTTTATCGAAAATAATATTTTATGAAGTATTTTTTAATATCTCTTGAAAAACTATAATACAAATATTATATTTAATGATAGAAATAGCGGTTCATCGACCAAAATAATTATAATTTTATTGTTTTGGTTCTTAATGCTTTGAGTATATTACAAATCACACTAACTGCTAATAAAACGAGCAATTTAGCCAGGATAATATTTTTTCGTATTATATATTTATAAAACGAAATCTATCTTTCAGAGTTATTATGTTTTTAGTTTGTAGATTTCAGCAGTAGGTACAAACGCCTTTTAGTGCGTTAATTAATTAAATGCTTAATTATTTTGTTGTATAAGCATAGTTCATTACATAACAATCATAGCATTGTTAATACTCTATTAGTGTAAATACGATACAATATTAAAGGCGTTTAATTAAGAGTCGTTAAGTCCCATTTTTGGTTAGTTACTCAATATTCTATGCAAATGCAAAAACCTATTATTCCGCAGTGACCTTTTGTTTGTATTTTGAATTTAATTGTACATAAAAGTAAATTATTTTTTAAAACTAACCCTATTATATAATTGTGCAATAGTTTAATACTTTATTTAGATTAGGAACATTATAATAGAATAACAACAATACCTGACACCTACACTTACTAGTTATTGGAATTTTGGATACAACAAATAATTTATAATGTTATAATTTTATTCGATAGCTCAGTTAAAAAATATATGTACAAAATTACGATTTTACATGAAAGTATTTTAAAGTTTATCCTCTTTTGTTTTCATTAGGTACTTAAAGCGTTTTTTATACGCTTTCTGTCGGTTGAAATAGACTTATTTATTTGTCGCGTTTTTGCAAAATATTGTACAATAAATATCATTTGGCCAAATATTTCCTTAACGTATTTTTTTTAAATTAGCCATCGATATAATATCTACATAATATATATTCCCGGGTAAAATTCATAAAGGTATTTCAGGATAATTAACAAAAAAATATTAGGTTTAATATTTTCAATTGGGTTTTAATAATTTTGCCAGGGTTTACCTAAGAAATTGGCGGCCGTAGAGTGCGCATAACCGGAAGCAGCAGCGGCGGCTGCCAGTTGTCCAAAGTTGATGGGTTGCTTGAAAAACCCTGCGGCCGCGGCGGCGGCTGCGGCGGCCGAAACGTGGCCGCGGCCGACGGCGTCCGGTCGGGACGGGGCCAGTATGCTGTCGATGGTGAAAAGCGACGAGCCGACGGCCGAAGTCTTCGGCACGGCTGCGGCGGTGGCTGCGGTTGCCGTGGTTGCTGTTTGTCTCTTGTCTGTGTCGCCGTATTCGCACGGCTGTGTTTGTGTCGGCGGTACGCCGCGAAAATCGCCGATGGCCGTTGGCCTTTCGGGCCGGTTACCGTTATCGCCGAGGCCCGCCACGCCGAAACTTCCGAGGAACACACGTTGGCCTTCCAATTTCATGTACTTTTCTGCTTGTCGCGTTAGCGTTCACGAAATCTCGTACCGCTGGCGGGTCATCAAATCGGACAGCAATAACAACAACGGTAATTATTATTAAAGCGAAAAAGGCAAAAATAACAACAACAACAACAACAGTTAACAACGAACGTCGATGCCCGCGGTACGAGTAATAATAAAATAGTATGATTTTGTTGACGATTGGTGCGCGCGCGGTAAACTTTTAATATAGTCGTCAATCGTTTAAGTGCCGCGCTACATTTGAGTGCCGCAACGGATTCATCCGGTGTCGGCCGTTGTCGAATCCGGAGAACGTGGCCCGCGATTGGCTGACGGTCAGAGACGTCGACGCACCCTGTCCCTTTCACGCACCCCGAGTGGGCGTGATCGGTGTCCGTGTAATCGGCGCCGCTCACCACTTATTTATCCCTCCGTGCCGGCCCTCGTTAACGTTAACGCGTGTACCCCGCTTATCCCCACCCCGATAACGTTGCCGTGATGCTATTTTATCATTTGTCAAAACATCATAATCGTTTACCTTTCCTCGACTCGGTTATTAGGCGGGTAGGCACCTACCTAAATACCCCCTCGGTATGTGATCTAACCGAACATGTCACAATAAACATAGTACCGTGTTTTGCGCTGTTAGTAGGTAATTGTGCAGTGTGTACCTGTATGTGTGCGTAAGTACCGCTTAATCATATTTATTCGCGACCATATAACTGCTGTTGTATTATAATATAAATAATTAATACGATGGTCTTTAACGTGTAATATCAAATATGCATTACGAAGGCTTGTTCTTAGAGGGGGAAGTTATTCTATTGCAATACAAAACGTTATTATAATATGAATTTATTTGTATAAATTGTTTAAAAATAATACATGTAAACAAACTACGCATTAAATATAATTAATATTTTTAAAAATTGTATTAAATCTAACCACAATTATAGTTCAATGATTTTTACAAATGTGGTACTTAGCATTAAACGATAATTTTATATACTAATATTGCTATTAATGAATTCCTATTGAAAATGTATGTGATTTTACCTAAACAGTTAGCACACAATTCCTAAATATTATCTAACCTAACCGCCGGTAAGCGAGCAATGCACACGAGTTTGAAAAAATGAAAATAAGGTTTAGAAAAAAACCAAATACCTATCTTATATATATTTTTTTTTAATTTAAAAATTTAAATACTATATTTTAAAAATATTATTTAAGATAAACATCAAATTATACGAAATATAATTTGTAAACATATTTGCATATCTCCTGAACAATTTGTATTTTTTCAATAATTGTATAATGTTCGAATATAATTTTCTTTCAGCATTAAAACAAGGATGATAGATTCTCGTCATTTATCTGCCTTTCAGCTATTCTTTTTGCAGCTATAAATGTTTAATAATTTTTATTATTTACTTAATCATATCATTGTTTATCACATAAACGATAAAAGACTCATTTTGTAATGATAATTTATAAAACGACGAATAAATAAACTGTTTACCGAATATGCAACAATTCGTTTTAGTAATACATAAGATTAATTTCGTCGTTTTAAAAATTATCAGTACAAAGTGGGACTTTTATCATTTATGTGATAACAATGATATGATAGATTAAATATCAAAAAGTATTAAATACTAATAGCCGCAAAAAGAATAACTAAACTCTGTAAACTAATAACTAAACTAATAACTAAACTAATAACTAAAGTGTAAAAGGCAGATAAACGACGAGAATCTGTCGTTCTTGTCTTAATGCTGAAAGAAATTTATATTGGAATATTATACAACTATAGTATAAATCCAAAATAAAAACCAAATAAATATATAAAATGAAAGCGCATTTTAAAATATTAGTTTTTAATTTTTACCTATATAGGCACAAGAAATAGTTGACGTGGAATAATAAATGAAAAAAACTGCTAAGAACGCTTAACAAAGATTTAAAATTTTATAAAATAGCAACGCATATATTATAGTTTTTAGTTCCTAACACTTATTATAAGAATCCCATAGATTATATACTTACATAAAATAAAACACTATAGTGGTTATTAGTTATTACAATATTGAACGGTGGGTGATAATTGTTCAGTTTTGTAATAAATAGTATAAATATTTAAAAAAAAATGTTTGACTTATCCCCCTGCCCCAAATCAAAGTAGCAAATTCAAATGAGAAATTCCTAAAATTTCTCATTTTTAAGTACTTCTTTGTGTTTTTTTCTTGCTTTTGATTAATACGGAAAATTCTAATTTTATTATGAATTTTGTTTTCATTGTAGAAGTATAAAGAAATAGATAAAAACTAAATAAACCATTACAGTCTTGTAAATACTTTTATATAAATATGATGAGATCAGTTGTTGTCGAGGACAGTGAAAAATGATATCAACAAAACGATAAATATGTCTTATTGATTGTTGTTACCTAGCCACCTAGGAAACGGTTGAGATGATAATATGCCCATCAACAGCACATCTGCTTTGCACACGTTTTCTAGCCTATATATAAAAAAACAAAAGGCACTGCTTTAAATTGTATTTATAGCTTTAGAAATTACTAATTCGGCCTATTGTATAGAAACTAAGACATAACTATTGGTTACACTGATTTCAAAAGTCATATCAGTTTGTTTAGATTAAGATAGTCTCAAAGATACTCGTACAGTTTACTGCTTATCAGCTTATAGCTTCTACCGTCTACGTTGATGTAATCGGTAATCCGTCAAAATTCAAAAAATATTTATTGAATTACTACTTTAATATTAAAACAATATTAACGTATTTTATTGTATACAATTTTTCTGACCTTTATGAAATAAGTAATATTATTTTACTATTATCTAATAGTACTCACCACTGTTTAGTTTTCTATTGATAATATCAGCGTTCACTCGTGTCGGGTGCTTCTAGAGATGGGAGAATCACGAGAGATTAAACATGATCTTGAACTTTCCATAAATCTAAATTCAATAGAATCGAGACTTATTAATAAATTATACGCAAAAAAAAGATTACAGTACAGCACACGACTGAATGCAATCGAGTGATAACTAGCATTAGGGAGGGGCTAGATAAAAAATTACACATAAAAATTAAATTGTACGAAGCAAGTATAATATATTATAAAAGCTACAGTTTACTTCAAAGGGATCCATTCTCTGGGTCGCTGTAAATTGCGGCCCGTGTATATTTTATACATATTTAAACTGCGGCCCGGGATATTCTGTTTGTTTCCAGTCACGGCAGTCATCAAAATAATTTAAAGTAACAATCTACGGTAAAGATATGTTCACTAAAATAATAATATTACTAGCAGCCAGTGTGCATTTGATCGTGTGCAGTTGTACAGTTATACAGTATATTATTTTCAATTTAATATACAAATAAAATGAACGTTATGAAAAACGAAAGAAATAAAACGTTGAAAGCGGTCGAGGGTTACAAATTTTGTTTTCATAAGTTTCTAAAAAAATTCATTATTCAACGTTGGCGTTGAACAATTAAAACGTGTAAGTGTTTTTTTGAAATTTAATGATAATAATATTTTTAAAGGGGGTTTTAATGATCACAATCATGCACAAATATCTGAACAACAAATGAATCGACAGAAACTTGAAAATAATTTAAAAAGAAAAGCCGTTGGCGATATGTTTACTAGGCCATCTAAAATTATCCATTCTGAATTAAAAAATGCTGATATTGAAACTTGAACTACTCAAGATGTAAATTTAATTAAAAGAAATTTACACAATGCTTCTGTCCTACTAAAATTACCAGCTACTTTTTCGGAATTACATGATATTTTTTGACAATATGGAATTTGAAACAAATACAACTGAACATTTTTTGTTAGTTAATAATAAAGAAACAAATATAGTAAGTTTCTCTACATTAAGCAATTTAAAAGTGCTATGCAATTCAGATACTATATTTGTAGATGGTACATTCAAAAGTTGTCCAAATGATATCATCAACGATTTACAGTTCATTGTACAATTAATCAGTCTTATGTTCCACTCGTTTTATTCTACTACCTTCAAAGTCTACACAATGCTATTTGAATACATTTCAACGTTTAGTTATAGAGTGCAAAAATAATAACTTACAATTCAGTCCCATTCGAATGTATGTCGATTTTGAAAAAGCTATCCATAAGGCTGCAAAACATGTTTGGCCTTCTATTGAAGTATAACAGTGTAGATTTCACCTTGGTCAAAGTTGGTATAGAAAAATACAGAAGTTGGGCTTAAGTTATGCTTATAAAAATAACAATAGTGAAATAAGTAATTTTTTTAAATTATTTATTTGACTTCCTTTTTTAAGTTTTGATATGGTTGAAGATTGTTTTGCGTACGATATAATGCCATTGCAACTAGAGCCGACGATTCTACACGTGTATTTAAAATACACGTGTAGGACAAGGATTGTGTAGTGCGAACTGACGTGTAGAAGTTCGTGTAATTATAAATACACGTGTATTTTAAATACACGTGTAGGACAAGTTCGTGTAGTCCGAATTCAGGTGTAGAAGTTCGTGTATGACCCGAGATTCAACCAACTTGGCCCAATGGCTATAATACTTTATCATAATGACAACCATTAACTAAAGAATAGTATCACGTAAATTAGAGGTCTTCTTAAAACTTACAGTTGTAAGAATACGTGTAGTTGCAGGCACACGTGTACTTATCACTACACAAACTTCGCGAACTACACGAACTTCTACACGTCAATTCGAACTACACGTGTTACACGTGTATTTACTTACACGTGTAATCGGTAGCTCTAATTGCAACAACGAGATGATGGAATAATAAAATTTACTGTATACATATTAGAAACCTATTTAACCAACGACTCAAAGTTCCCGTCACAGATACCTATGGGCCGAATTTGTATCCTCGACAATTCGCACAACAAATAATTGTGAATCATTTCACAGAAAATCAAACAGTTCGTTCAATTCATCACACCCAAAA